CTGATGGGAAGGACAGGAATGAATTGCCTGAGGACAGCAGAGGCTCTGTTGTTGGAGGCCTTTAAGAATGGGGTAGACAAGCATCTGTCAGGAAGGCTTTAGACAGAGCTGATCCTGCCCTGAGGCAGGAGATGGTCGGGTTGACCTCCCGAGGCCCCTTTCCAGCACTGTTTTTTATTATCTCCACTGACAGCCCCCCTGCCTTGACCTTTGGTATGCTACTTCTTGAGTCTTCTTTCCAGCAGAGAGAGAGGGGGCACAGAAAACTCGTTTTTTAAAGTAGAGCCAGGATTTACACCTGTCATGTGATGTTCTTTTTAAAAGCCGTGAGAGTTTCTCCTTAAAACCTCAATAACTCGCAATGTTAGGGCACATGCAGCTTTTTATTGTATTAAACTGGTTCAGTTTTCCTTTCTTTCTAAAGTTAGCTGCAAAGTAGCCAAAAGGCATCACAGGTAGAGATTTCCTAGTGACTCGAGAGCCCTGAAACCCCTCACACACGGGGTAGGTGAAATCCCAAACGGGTACAGGCTGTTTTGTGTACTCCAAACACACTCTCAAAGCTCTTCTTAACAAGATCTAGACCTCATCTGAAGGCTAATGGGATGCAAATCACAGTTGCTTCATGAATCATCAAATCAGAAATGTTTTGGGTTGAAAAGGGCCTTAAAGATCATCCAGTTCCATCCCAGCCATGGGCAGGGACACCTTCCACTATCCCAGGTTGCTCCAAGCCCTGTCCAGCCTGGCCTTGGACACTTCCAGGGATCCAGGGGCAGCCACAGCTTCTCTGGGCACCCTGTGCAAGGGTCTTCCTACCCTCTGAATAAAGAATGTCTTCCAAGCACCTCGCCTAAATGTCTCTTTTCTAGTTTAAAATTGTTCCCCCTTATCCTAAAAGTGTCTGTACTTGTAAAGAAATAAAGTAGATGAGACCATGGCCTCAGGAGCTGGGTAGCACCAGCTGTGTGGGGCAGTATTTGCACCCAGGTTAACACAATGAAACGCAAATGTTATAATTCTGAATCCCACATACCAGATCACTTTAAGCTTCTTTTGATCCTGAACCTGGCAAGCCTGTTTTGAATGGTCCTCATTGGATGACTCTCAAGTTAAGAACATTTGTGATGTCTCCATTGACTTTAAGTTTTCTTTGAGGGTCTTTTTTTCAACACACAATAAGCAGCCAAAAGGAGACCGAGTCCCTGCAGGGATGAGGAAAAAAAAAGAGCACCAGATCCTCTCCTTGCACCCCTGCAGGTGTTTTGGGCACCAGAGTGAAATGGAAAAACTCTTTGACTTCTGTTTTTTGTGCTCTGCCCCTTTTCAGTCTCCCACATCCCTGCTTCCGTGCCAGGCTTCAGTAGGGAAACATCATATTGATTGTGATGCAGGCAATTAAATGGTGTTAATGAAGTTCAAACAAGTGTTATCATAAGCTTGGCAGCATGGAGAGAAATGAAAGGTCAGCCACAGCCCTTTGTCATTTTTCAGTGTGGTGTTGAATGCTAATGAGACAGGCCCAATTAGAATAGGCTCCCCTTTGTATTGCTTGGGGATTGCATCAAATGCTCCCAAGTTCTCCAGATTTCCAGGCTCAAAGGGGACATTTGAAGTAAACTTGAAAAGATGCAGATCTGAAGCTGCTCTAATGTAAATTCAGCAGAGCCTATGGAGTTTTACTAACTGAAGTCAGATGAGATTCTGCTCCACCGTTGCCATTCTTTCCCTCTTCTTTTTTTTTTCAGTAGACTCATATAATGATAATTGAAAAGCCTCCACTTTGTTTTAGAACTACAGCCTGGCTCTTCATGGCTTCAACAAAAGCCAAATAGCCTGTCCCAATTTCCTGGGTTAATTGTGCTGCCTCATCAGGCCTCGTGCTCTGCAGCAGGAAATCCAAGATGTGGCTGCACCACGACACTTTTGTACCACGTTTCCAACTCTGGGTGTCTCATTTTAACACTGAACCTATTTTTCCCCAAAAGACAGAATTTCTCAGCTGGATTGCTTCACTGGGCAGAATCCACCTCTGCTTCCAATAATGTTATAAAAGGACTATCATAAAATCACAGAATAGTTTGGGTTGGAAGGGACATCTGGAGGTCATCTATTCCAACCCCCCTGCAATGAGCAGGGAACATCTTCAACTAAATTTAAGTGATGCACAATAATTTTTTTGTTGCTGTTGTCAGCAAATCCATTATCTTGAATAATTATAGAAATGGGCACTAAAACAACCAGCCTCTCAAAATGTCATGGAAAATGTCAGTTTCTTATATAGTTTTCCATTAAGTCTCCAGGAAATTGCAAAAATTGGTAAATTTTAAATTTTTTTAATTAGTCATTGTCATGCACCCAAATTCTGACGGCAACACTTGACCCATCACAAACAAGTAACTGAAAACATGAGGAAAAAAAGAGAAAATTCTCTGCTAAACATGAGCCAAACAAGCAAATAAACCAGTGAGGATTCTGAAAGTCTTGCTGTTGAAATCTTTTGGAATCAGATTTCCAGTTGACCACCTTGTGGAGGTAGACCCCTGGTGATGCCAGAAGCTGTAACTATTTCCCTTCCAATGCACATTCCCAGGTGGAAAACAAATATTTGAAGGATTGGAGGGAAGTCCTTTCATCCCTGCTTCCTTCTCATGCTCTGAGTTTGTGAGTCCTAAAGGCTCCACACCAAGAAACCAGAGGTTTCAAAGAGATGGCTTGGAGTAACCCAGCTCAACTCCATTCGCAGACATCTAAATCCAGAGTGTTTTAATCCAGAGTGACTCAAGTTGGGTACAAACTACCACTGATTAAATTACCCTCTTAGAGTTTCCTCTTCGTCAAATAAATTAATTTGATTTCAGGTTCTTCTGTTTTACTCAACCATTTCTTAAACTCCCTGATTTTTTATCTCCTGATTTACTCTTTGAAGAAGTCTAGTGGTCTTGAAGGATGCCATCTCCAGCTGATGCTGACTACAGAAATAGCTCCAACCAGCACCGGAAGCCTTTGGATCTGGATAAACTCCCTCAAAGCACAATCGCAGTATGGAGAGAAAAAATTCATTAGCTCGGGGTAGAACTCAAATTATATTTTATTCATCCCTGATAGGTTTTTTCTTTCATCTCCCACAGCATCCAGGTGCCACTGCCTTGAGTCAGTGGAACTGACACACAAAAATAAAAGCGGGGAAGAAGCTCTAACTGTATTCCAAAACCTGCAGTCTCCCCTTGGGCTTCAGTTCAAGTTGTCAGACATCAGTGCAGATAACAACCCAGCACATGCTGGGGACAGGAATCCAGGGCTGTTTACAAGCAGCAGGAGGTGTTATGTACCTCTTTTGCAAACCCAGTTGTTTGGGAAAACTTCCAAGGAAATGCAGCACCTATTGCTGAAGATCACTGGGCACCATGATTTAGCTCCAAAAAGTTGTAAAGTGAAATCAATACTGCAAAAAAAAACCCTGGAAACTGCAGCCTTTTGTTTATCCAGAGGGGAAAAAAAAAATAAAAAGGTGTTTGTTGCACAAGGAAATATCCCATTTTCCACTTAAATACCTCAGTTTGTCACTCAAATGTAGCATCTCCCTGGAAAAAATCAACCAGTTTGAGATGGAAAACATTATTTGTCCATGCAAACCACCCAACCACACCAAGTGTTGCTAAAGTCACTAGAGAATGGCACCTTTGGGTCACTGTTGGTACAAACTTGATTTCTAAATGGAGCCTCCAACACTTGCTTCCCGTTATCCAGGTCAATCCAGCAATCAGCCTCAATACATACTAAGAAACTTGGACACGGTACCAAAAGTAGGTCATAATTAAGCAAGGTAGCTCATAAGAGCCTTGCAGGTTGCCTAGAAACGACATTTGCTGAAGTGTTTAACCACATCTAAAAATAATTGTCCAGACAAATCACAGACCAATGGGAGAATGGTTGGAAAAATCGCTGCCTCGTGCCGAGCAGGGGACAGAGCTCTTTGATCAGCCACACTCCTGTCACAAAATGAGAGAAAATCATCCCCAGCAATGGCAATACAGGCATTTATAGCACAGTGTGAGGTGTCTGCAGCAGCAGAGGCCTTGTACAACCTGCAGGACATGGTATCAGTTTTAGGCCATGCCTGGGAAGTTATCCAGAAAAATCATTGCTGAACGCTGGATGCAGTGCACAGGAATGATCTGTAGGATAAACCTGCCTTTGTATTTACAGAGCAGCAACCAGTCCCCATCTGTGCAGTTCCCAAACCTGTCAATAACACCAGGCAAGTGCAGAATATTGGAAAGCAAAGCACAGCTCCTGCTGGATGAAGAACAGGATGTGCTGTTTGTTTGTCCTGGGGGAAACCCTACAGAAACTGAAGCCCCAGCAGGCTGCAGGAATAGATGCTTTGGTTGTATTCTCCGTGGAGCAGCTTTGCCAGACACTGACCCTTGGTACAGCAGATTGAAGTGCAGACACAGGTCTTGGAAGTGAGGACAAAATGCTTGGAAAGACCTCTGACCTGACAGAAAATACCTGCAGAGCTTCAGTCAGCAGCCTGTCAGTCGTGTGGCATCTGACTCAAAGCACAGAAGAGCCTCCAAGGGAAGTTGCTGGGGGATAATTATGAATCCCTTGGGATGCAGGGAGTGTGGGGACTGTCACAATGGTGCTGAGAGCAGCAAACCACCTCAGGCCTGTGTGAGAAGCCCGTATGCTTCCCAGGGCTCACACACATCACCTCCCCTTCCTTCCTCCCTCTGCCGCTTCCCAAGAGTTTCTCCTCAAAACAAACAAAGATGGCAAACACCTTCAGCTCCCACCATTAATAAAATTTCCATCTCTGCTGCAAGACATGAGGGAATAAAAGGTTAAGGTGGAGATTTCCACTTAACAAAAGCCAACGACAAAAAAAGCCCCAGGGGCATTTTCCAAAAGCAAAGGTGATTCTGCCTCCTACCTCCACCCACAAATTAGGGCCTGGTTGTGTCACTTGGTGTCATTCCATAGCTAAAACTCACCTTTCCACCCAGTTCTTGTAGCTGGGGATGTCCTTGGCGTAGAGGAGCTTGTTGGAGGGGGAGTCTTTGCCCAGCCGGTGCTCTGAGGTGGAGCAGGAGTCCATGAAGGTCTGAGCCACCACGGACAGGCAGGCGTCTGTGATGCTGTTTTTGTGGATGTCGAAGACGAACTGCGGGTTCTTGATCATGTTAACCCAGAAGCGCAAGGGGAGGCTGCAGGAGGGGTGGGAGAGGGGACACAGTCAGTGCACAGCTCACAGGCTTTGCTGTGTGACATCTCAGCAGCAAACGGCGGCTGGGAATCAGAGATCGCGGTGTGGATATGAAGATTCTGGGATAAACTTTGCTATGCAATGAATTCCTCCCCTAAAAAGTCTAGGGGTGGTAGGGATGTCACCTTTTATCCCTGTTATCCTCACAGGGCAGATTTTTGAGTCTTAAAGTCAATACAGGCTTGTTGAAGGTGCCTGTGAATTAATGGGAGTATAATTTAGGTGATGACAAACACTGAATCTGTGTTAAATTGAAATGGAAAGTTCACCCTGTTGGTTGCTCCATCAGATGAAGACAGGCATTGAACCTATCACAAAAATTATTATGGTGTGGGTTATAAAGCATTGGAACAGGCTGCCCAGAGAAGCTGTAGCTGCCCCTGGATCCCTGGAAGTGCCCAAGAACAGCTTGGACAGGGCTTGGAGCAGCCTGGGATGGTGGAAGGTGTCCCTGCCTGTGGCAGGGGGTGGCACTGGATGAGTTTAAGGTCCCTTCCAACCCAGACCATTCTGTGATTCTATACATTTGTCACTGAAGGATGTGACTTTTAATCCTCACAGCAATCCCATGGGAAGAGAGGTAGGTAGAGCTGCCAGGTGGAGACTGGGAATGCTCGTGGCACACCCTGTGTGCTAGGACACCGTGTCCTGTCACTCTCCACTGCTCCAGCCCAAGCCTGCACATGATCCCAGTGCCCCAAGCAGGAAGCAGTTGCTACATGGCAGGGAAAGCTCTGTTGCCTCAAGGAAAAAATAAAAAAATTAAAAAAAAGGAACTGGGAAACAAGTATCACAGCCTTTGATATGAAAATATATCTGCCCTAACCAAGGAAATGCTATTCCAGTTGCAATCCAAAGCCCTTTCCCCCCTTTTTCTCCAAAGAGCAGCTCATTTTTATGAGATGCCTCGAGGTACCTTGGATGAGATACCTCCAGCCTTTGCCTCAAGCCTTTCTGTCAGGGCAAATGCACTGCAGTGATCGTGGCCTGGGAGCTGGGATGTGCCACTGAGCACAGAGCCCAGCTCCTGGCTTGCTCTCACACAGATTGTGAAGTTTACCTTCACTCTCAGCATCTTTCAGCTTAGCAAATTCTCCTGATACTCAGGATAAACTCCCCAGTTCCTCCCATTTGCTCACTGCGTTCACAACACTGTAAAAAATTCATCTCCCAACCTGATAGATTTTGGGTAATAACCTTCCTGACACAGGGTTGACACTGTGTTTTCCTAAACTTCTGTGTGTTCTCCTGAGCCAACAAAATCACAGAGCAAATGGAAGGAAAGCCCCACACAGGGAATCCTGTCAGCCAAGTTCAGGAGAAGAGATGCTGGAAAATACAGAATTATAGAGTGCTTTGGGTGAGAAGAGACCTTAAAGATCATCCAGTTCTACACCCTTGATGTTGGGACACCTCCAGCTATCCCAGGTTGCTCCAACCTGGACTTGAACAGTCCAGGGATGGGGCAGCCACAGCTTCTCTGGACAGTCTGTGCCAGGGCCTTGAGGAAGAATAAATAAAAAATGGCAAAGAGACATGATGGAGTTGTGGGAATTTAGGCTGGGAATGGAGAATCATCACTGGGAGGGGATGAGGTGGAAGAGTGAACCTTGCAGAAGTCCTTGTGCAGGTGTTTGGATGACTGACAAAGCCATGGTGAGGAGCAGAGTGTGTTTGTGTGCCTGGGTGTGAGGAGGGGATTCGGGACGATGTCCCTGGCTGGTAATAATGAAGCCCTGTGATGTGACTTTGAGTTAATTTGATCTGATTGAACAGATTTCTTCACACTGCCCCTTTTCCCACAAACACACACACACTCTGCCTTCCCCCCTCCCCCCTTAAATAAACCTCCTGCTCATTTAGGCTGAGTGGCTGCAATCAGCCTTAGATTAGTGCCGCAGATAATGTTAATAATATGCTAATGTTTCATTAGTTGAAAGCCTCTTTGGTGCATGGGGTTTCTTTTTTTATGTCACCGGTGCTGTGACGATCTGCCAACAGCATGGCTGGGAAAAGGAAAAAATGCATGAGCTGGGAGCCCCATGGCTCTCCTCTGCTGCTCCTTTTATAGTCCCTGTGTTTGCACAGGAGAAGGGGAGGGAGCCATTCCCCAGGGAGCTCTTTCCAACGGGGAGACTCGGCAGAGAGGAGGCTTTTCTCCACCCATCCTGGCTTTTCCCACTGTCCCATTGCAGGGATGAGGAGCTGGCAGCTGGAGCTGGGGCTGATGTCGCACTTTGGCACTGATGTCACTCTTTGTCACTGATGTCACCCTTTGTTACTCACTCCAGAGAAGATTCACATCCAGCTCCAGAACCTTTAAATGTTTTGTACCATTGGAGATGCTCTCCTGGCCTCCAGCTGCCACTCAGGAGGGTATAAGTCTCCTGTGGGCGCTCCACATCCTCTGAGGATGTCTTGGATACCTTAAAATTCTCAGCTGGCATGAGACACCTCTGTGTGGGCAAACAAATAGAGCTGGGAATTGAAACACCCAGAGCAGATGAAGCCAGTGGTGTTGAATACTCTCCCATGGCTCCCTAGATATTTCTGTGTGATCCTGAGCACTGCAGCAATTAAAAACTTCATTTTTCCTCATCAAATCCTTCACAAATCCTGCCATTTCCACGCAATACTGGGCAAACCAGCACCTGTTCAGCAAAAGTGCTCCATCCCTGACAAAATCCTTTGAATTTTGGGATTTTCTGGCTTCTCCATTGACTTGGCAAGATGGAGCCTCATCCTTTGAGCCCCACACCAGGCTCCTCAGCTCCCCCAGCAGCCAGATCCCAAAGACACTTCCCTCTGCTCTCCTTCCAGCCCAGCAGCTGCTGCTGGGTTGTCTCCACTCACCAGTTGCTCTTCCAGGTGTGCCTCACGTGGGGGTCGTGGATGTTGTGCTTGTCTGCCTGCTCATCCAGGAAATCAAACATGTACTTGATGGCCAGGGGGAGGGCACTGCCACGGTGAGCGGTGCTGAAAATGGTCTCAAAGAGATCGTCCACGAATTTCTGGAGGGTGCCCTGGTGGGAGGAAGGGAAGGGAAGGGAAGGGAAGGGGCGGGAAGGGAAGGTGCGGGAAGGGAAGGGGCGGGAAGGGAAGGTGCGGGAAGGGAAGGGGCGGGAAGGGAAGGTGCGGGAAGGGAAGGGGCGGGAAGGGAAGGTGCGGGAAGGGAAGGGGCGGGAAGGGAAGGTGCGGGAAGGGAAGGGGCGGGAAGGGAAGGTGCGGGAAGGGAAGGGGCGGGAAGGGAAGGTGCGGGAAGGGAAGGGGCGGGAAGGGAAGGTGCGGGAAGGGAAGGGGCGGGAAGGGAAGGTGCGGGAAGGGAAGGGGCGGGAAGGGAAGGTGCGGGAAGGGAAGGGGCGGGAAGGGAAGGTGCGGGAAGGGAAGGGGCGGGAAGGGAAGGTGCGGGAAGGGAAGGGGCGGGAAGGGAAGGTGCGGGAAGGGAAGGGGCGGGAAGGGAAGGTGCGGGAAGGGAAGGGGCGGGAAGGGAAGGTGCGGGAAGGGAAGGGGCGGGAAGGGAAGGTGCGGGAAGGGAAGGGGCGGGAAGGGAAGGTGCGGGAAGGGAAGGGGCGGGAAGGGAAGGTGCGGGAAGGGAAGGGGCGGGAAGGGAAGGTGCGGGAAGGGAAGGGGCGGGAAGGGAAGGTGCGGGAAGGGAAGGGGCGGGAAGGGAAGGTGCGGGAAGGGAAGGGGCGGGAAGGGAAGGTGCGGGAAGGGAAGGGGCGGGAAGGGAAGGTGCGGGAAGGGAAGGGGCGGGAAGGGAAGGTGCGGGAAGGGAAGGGGCGGGAAGGGAAGGTGCGGGAAGGGAAGGGGCGGGAAGGGAAGGTGCGGGAAGGGAAGGGGCGGGAAGGGAAGGTGCGGGAAGGGAAGGGGCGGGAAGGGAAGGTGCGGGAAGGGAAGGGGCGGGAAGGGAAGGTGCGGGAAGGGAAGGGGCGGGAAGGGAAGGTGCGGGAAGGGAAGGGGCGGGAAGGGAAGGTGCGGGAAGGGAAGGGGCGGGAAGGGAAGGTGCGGGAAGGGAAGGGGCGGGAAGGGAAGGTGCGGGAAGGTGCGGGGCAGGAAAGGAAAGGAAAGGAAAGGAAAGGAGGTTGGTTAAGCAGGAATATTTATCATCACAAGAACAATTACACCTCATTTCCACACAGATTCCTCTCTCTGCCTCCCATCCTCAATGCTTTAGTGCATCCATGAGACAAAACCCAGCCATTTTCCAGGCTGGCTTCTACCCAGGGCCACCTTTTAAGCTGGGAAGAGAAGTCAGCTGGATGTAGAACTCAGCAGAAGGTGTCATGGAGACAAAAAGGACAAGAGAAGCTAGAGAGTGGATGGTTAATGTGTGACCAGTGTCCTAAATAACACAAACTTCATTCCCAAGAGGCCTTCTCATCTTTTATTCCCCACTGGCAGGGGAATCCCAGATCTGGATTGGAGAGTCACCTTTGTGAGGACAGTTGACTTTTAGCAGGAAGGAGAGGAGCTGGGTGACCAGGCTTGGAGAAGGGGACAGCTGAGGAGTTCTAGGCTGGGTTTGGGGTGGGACCAGGCAGGGCATGTTTTCTCTGTCACCAGAGCTTCACAGGCATTTATGTGTGGACAAACCACACAGCTGCTAAAATAACCAAAAATCAACTGAATCTCCAACAAACATTCCCTGATATGAAAAATTTCCTTTCCTGCAAAATAAAACTCTGCCCTTTCTTCAAAGACCTAGGGAAGAAATGTCTCCATTCTAGAAATAAAGCTCCAGGTTCCACCAGAGTGGCTCAAGTTTACCTAGAGCTAACAAACACTTAATTAGAAATCTGGCGTCTCTGGCTCATTCACCACTTGATTTATTCTTAGGGAAACAAACAGAGGCACCTTTTTCTTGTGTGAACTCCTGCAGGGTGAACAAAGCCCTGCAGCACATGTCTGACTCAGAAAGGACTCCGGAGGGGAAATCCTCTTGGTCTGACATGGAAGAGCTGCCCTCAGGTTCAGTTCCTGGAGGGAATTAGTTCTCTACATGCTCACCCTCACAAACGCCACAAAAACCTCGGAGGCTTTTAGGGAAGAGGCTCTTAGGTATCAGAGGTCAGGGATTTACTAGAATAAAAATCATTGTCAGTTTAACAAAGTATTCCTGGGGATTGTATTACAGCAACTGTTCTCTCTCTTTCCCTCCCTCAAACGGTCACAATGAGAAAAGAAAATTGCTCAGCCCAAGAGGGGAAACAATAAAACCCCAACCTTCCTACTCTTTCTGTTGCTGTGCAGGTTTTGCAGCTGCTTTTCTGTCATCTCAACAAAAAAAAAACCAACACAAAAACCAAAAAAAAGCAACCATAAACCAACAAAAAAACCAACCCAAGTGAGTTTGTGACCCAGAACAGTGGTGGCATAGGGGCCGAATCCCCAGACATCATAAATCAGCACCAGCCCAAAGCTTGCTGGTCTACACCAGCTGGGGCCTGAGCCCTGGGGATCAACACTTTCCTTTTTCAACATTTTTCACACGTTGTGTGATCCATAAAAGCCTCCTGATGCCAGGGAATGGGGCACAGACCAGGGGCTAAAGACAAAGGTGCCTTTCCTCCAAATCCCTCTGCAGCTCAGACAGCCTGAGTGAGGCTGCAGGGAGAGCCAGACATCAGAGGCAAAATGAGCTGAGCAATAAAAGAGCAGGTAAATCTGGAAACTAGGACTTAAACGAGTGATGGAAATGTGTTTGATGGGCAGACTCGAGCAGAATTTGCGTGAGCACAGGGAAATGTGTTTGTGCCTATTAATACCCTGACAAAAAGTGAAAAAAGTCTAAGTTATGGATGCGTTTGGAGACTCAGGTCAGGATGTCCATGCTCTGCCCCCACTTGATTTAATCTGTATTTTCTCTCTGTGCATGCTGACTTTTCATGTCTCACTGTAAGGTCAATGTAACCCTTTCCATGTCATCAGCACAAGAGCCTTTATTGGCCCAGGGCAAATGTGGAGAAGGATTTGTACCACAAAACTCAGGATCTGGTGGTATAGGAGCCATTTCAGACTGTGAGGCTTGACACATCTTTGGAACCTGCTCTGAGCACCTGCCCTGGCTCTTCACTTGCTCAACTTTGGTACAAATTACAAACCATTATAATGGATGACTCCAGCACCTCCTGCTGTGCTTTTTCCACCAATCTCATGGCCCTGGATTGTTACTCCTTGTTGCTTTTCCAGTGTCTCTTTCATGACTCTGCTTTCAAAGCTCAGACTCCTTCCCCATGTGCTTAGAACTCTCCTCTTGCTCTATTTTCCTTCTGTTCTTCTCTTTTTACCCAACCTTGGCATCCTTTGAGTGGCCTCTCATTTCTTGCTGGCAAGAAATTCCACACCGCACTCTCAAAGCCCCTGTCCCCCGCCCCCACCACGTACCTTGGTGGCCAGTAACCTGGTCAGGTAGATCTCAGAAACCATCTTGCTGCCTCGGTCACCCTCTTTTTGGTCTCCATGCTCATGGTTCTTGACCAGGTGCCACATCTTGACGCCGCTCTCCAGGTCGGGGGTGATCATGGGGGTGCGCGAGCGGAGGCTGTCGGGGCTGCCCGTGTAGCGGATCATGTTTTCTGCAGAGACACAGATCCAGGGGTGTCCACGTGTCTCAGTAGCTCTTGGATTGGGATTTTCAGGAATTATGCTGGTGACGTGCCACCAAATGCATTTTTCAAAGCATTGTCTGCGTGATTGGCTCAGCAAAGACAAGCCATGTCACCAATCCAGGTGTGATGTCAGTGTCTACACCATTAAATTAAGTGAGGTTCAAACACTGATTTCCAGTTTTAATCTTTAATCTTTACCCCTTATCATTTTCCCTGGCAAGTGGCACTGTCAGTGTCAGACACTTCCCAGGACTGGTTCAGGGGGTAGCACCAGTTCCTTATGTGACTGGCTTTCCCATATTTTTATCCATGTCATGCCATGTTCCTTGGCATAAAAATATTGGTGTCTCTAATATGATCTGTCGTTTAGCTCCTCATCCCCAGATTTAGAAGGAGCTGCCTCCCCTTAGCATCAAAAAACCCAAACAATTCCTGCCCAGCCATCCTCCTCACCCCCTGCTCCAAAAATCTTGTTTTGACAGAAATCACCCCAAACCCCAGGTGGACATCCACAAATTTCCTCTCCAAGAACACTTTTAGCCTCCAAATTTTACCTCTCTTTGCCTCTGAGTGATGGTACAAGGCATTCCCCTCTCCCTGACCTTCTAGCAATGTTGCCTTTTCCAACCATAATTATCAGAAGTGTTGCACCTTTCTGCAGCAAGATCTGAATCAGCCTCATTTATGCATTACCAATCTCTACATATTAATTATCAGATGGAATATCCTTTTTCTCTCTGGATGCTGTTTTCTTAATTGCAATTAACAATCACTTTTTGACCCACCATATCATCTCCTCCCCCTGCCTCCTTCCCTATTCCCTCCTCCTGAAAAATCAAATGGCAAAAGAATTAAAGAAATTCAACAGAAATTAACCCCCCTCAAGTCTTCCTTTCCAAAGGTCACTGTGTCTTTCAGTAATTGCAACAACAAGGCAAAGAGGATGAATATTAATAAGGCCTCATGGATCGTTTATGTCCTTGGAGAAAGTGGAAGGGGGCACCTCTGGACATTGAGAAACTGCATTTTCCCTTAGGATAAAGTGGGTAAGAAGGACTGGAGATGCTTTCATCAGTTACAAATATGAATAAAGTGATATAACAGCAGCATTCAGGTTGGAGGGGAGTTTGCAGCACTCTGGTTGTGCATTAGGGATGTTTTGCTTTGCTGTCCAGCAGCACCTTAGTGAGACACGGGCTGGATGCAGTTCTAGTGCAGGGGAGCAAGGGGTGGGAAGGGTTGGGTGACACTCAGGAGGTCCCACCTGGTGTCCCTTTCACAGCTGTCTCATGGGGACAGCGGGAACAACTGCTCTGAGGTCTGCCGATAAAGACCTCAAACCCCAAGAGTGACATTTGGTGATCTAAGAGTGGGGCAGTTAATTATACAGACTCCTCCTTTCATTAGTGAGGGAGGAGAACTTCCCAAGAGCACCCCAACCACTTGGATCAACAGTCTGAACAAGATGCCAGAGTTTTTAGATGGCTAAATCCTCCCCTCCTGCCTCATTTCACCAACTAATCATCTGCCCGTCAGTCTCCGTGAAGGTGCTCAGAGTCTGGTGACCACTGTGACATTTGGGATCTCTTCCCAGTGCTCTCCCAGTCCATCCCAGCACACAAACCCTTACCATACTTGCTGGCTGATGTCCGGGACACCGTGGAGTTGTTGACTGCGTTGTAGGCAGTGACTTGCTTGGATACCAAAGCTACCACAGATCCATCTGGGACCTGCAGGAAAAAACAGGACTCAGTCAATAAACTTCTGAAAAGTGGCTGAGGACCGTGCCCAGGGCAGCACGAGCTGCAAATCATTGTCTCTGTAGGTAGGGCAGAGCTTCAAATTCAAAGCTTCAATTTCTTTCTTCGTTGAGTTGGTCTAGTAATAAAAAGGAACAAAATCTGCTGTTATACAGCCAGAATCCTGCACTTGGACAAAGGGACAATTGGTGACAAACAGATTCTGCTCCATTTGGGCCCTGATTCAAAGCCCAGTGACGACAATGTGAGTCACTGAGCCATTTAGGTTGGAAAAGGCCCTTAAGATCATGGAGTTCAACCATTAACTCAGCACCACTGTGTTCACCACTAAGCCATGTCCCCAAGGGCCACATCCAGAGGCCTTTTAAACACTTCCAGGGGTGGTTTTTGCATTAACCTCAGTAAATCTGACAATAGGTTCATCCCAAGGAAGCTCTTAGGCAGAGCAGGAGCATGAGAATAATAAAATCATCTGAGCTGCTTCAAACAGGCTTGGCTGTCCCATTAGGGTGATAAAACCGATGTGAAATGTTCCTTTCCTTCCTCCTGGATTGCAGGTGATATCCAGGTGTCTGGTTCAAAGATTCCTGTCTACATTTTCCACTATGATCCTGTCAACCTCTCACCCTTCCATGTGACAAATGCACTGCTGGACTGGAGGGATTGCCACAACTTCTTTCTCTCTGGGGTGTCAGAGGGTCTCAGATGTGGAAAAGCAGCAGGTTTGGAGTGGCTGATGTCCAGGATGTTGTGGTACAATGTTTTGAGGGATCACAGGACTTTTTTAAAGGAGCCAGACTTTCCATTTTTACAACAAGGCCAATCATGTGGGTCCCATATCAGAAATGTTAACAAGCCCATGGCTCAAAAGAGCCATATCAGGAACATCTGTGATAAATAAGACATCATAAAGAGGAGATGGGTAAAAAAAAACCCTTCTAACGACATCTAACTCTTGTCTGTGTCATAATAATAATAATAATTAGCACTTGCATGGAGTTTTTCATCTTCAAAGCACTGCAGAGGCTAATTAAATAGCCCCTCAGCTATCACAGAAGGCAATTATTGGCTCTTTGTAGTTTTAGCCCCACACCACAGATGGGGAAACTGAGGCAAAGGCAATCTCAGTGTCTGTCCCAGCATGCTCCATGTCAGCCTTCAGGACAGCCAGGAAAATGATGTTTCCTGAGGACCTGGCCCAGCTCATCATACAGCTGGGAGCTCATTGCCTGAAGCAAAGGAAAATGGAAAAAGCACAGAGGGAGGAAAATTATGCCTGGTGATGAAATAAAGCAGGAAACTTGCTCTGTCTGGAAAAAAACAAAAACTCAAAATCAGCCAGCAATGCTTCAGTCAATCTGGAAGTAAAAGTTTTGTTTCTTTTTCAAATTACTGCTTGCTGCCTCCTCAGCTCAGATCTTAAGTGACAAGAGAAAATAATTTTGTTATGAAACAGAGGCTGCTGAGGTGTGATGGAGGAAATGACAAAATCATCAGCATCGGATTAAACTTAATGAGGTCTCTTTTTTTGGTGTTTTTTTCCAAGGGAAAAGACTTTGACCAAAACTCTGTTTTTTTCCGTTAAATCTACTGCTTGTGTAAGACATTTTCAGACTTCTCTAACTCTCTCTTGTGGATTTCCAAGTCATGCAGGGATGAAGGGAAGTAGAGCAGGTCACCTGGACTGGGTTAAGGATCAAAAAGAAGAGTTTCTTGTAATAACAACACCACTGCTCTGTGCTCTCCAGCCATGCTGTTTTCCACCTCCTTTTTCCAGTCACTAAGCCTCCCTCTTTCCATTTTTCTCTCTTCCATCCTTCTGAACTCTACTTGCATTAAAAGACCATGGATACATTGGAAAAAGGGGCATGGAAGGCCTTGGATTTGTTTGTCTATGTGAGAAATGTTAGTTTGTGTTGTCCTCATCTCCTTTTCACCGCCTCCACTCACCAGGGGTGTCCCTTGAGAGACAAAGATTTTTTTCCTACCCTTGGCTTCCTCTCTAGAGTTGTTCAGGATAATTGGGACAAGGACAGGAGGGATGCGCTCAACATGGAGGTTCTGCCCAGTTATTGCCCACTCAACCACTCTTTACCTCTGCATCTTAGGATAATAAAAATCACAGAACTATTAAGGTTGGAAAAAATCTTTAAGATCATCCAGCCCAACTGTTCACCCAACACTGCCAAAGTCACTAACCCATGTCCCCAAGTGCCACATCTACAAGTTTTTGAACACTTCCAGGGGTGCTGGTTCCACCACCCGCCCTGGGCAAGAGAACAACATTTTGCTGTTCATTTTGTCAAGAGGAAGATCTAACTCCTACCCACCCTCTCCCACAGATACCTGGTAGTGTGCCAGCGTGTTGAGTCTCTTCCAGTCGTTCTCTATCTTGGTGGTGATGTCCTCATCCTGAAGGATCATCCTCGCCCCGCTCGCCTGACGCCACTCTGCAAGGAGAACAGGGACAAATGACACAGGTGTTGCCTTTTCCCCAGCCTGGAAATTAAAATAATTTTAGTAAGGAGGTGATAGAAGAGCAGATCTTTATTTGAAGGCCTTCAGGGGCAGCTGTGGAAAGATGTCCACAAAAGCCCACCCCTCCCAGGGGAGAGCAGGTTTTTACAGGTTTTAGGAATGGATAAAATTCCTAAAAAATTGATAAAAAGCACCAGTTAGGAGGACAAGTGGTGATGAAATTTCCCTCAGGCCAGACTCCTTCCCTGGAGTCCCCCTCAGCCCTAGCTGTACTTTGTCCATGAGAATGTGACTCAAAGAGTCGTTCTCACCTTGGCTCCCAGCAATAACCAAAATGGGGCCCTGCACCTCCTGGGGCTCTGGAATTTGTTTTGTCTTTCTGCCTAGGGAAAGGCCGTGGAAAATTACTGGGAAAACTAGCCACTAATACAATAGGCTACAGAGCTACCAATATTTCTGTGAAGAATACAGGGCACATAGGAAACAAAAGCAAAAACCAAACAGCATCGCAGGGACAGAACCCTGCATTCCCTGTGCCCAGAATCCACGTGGACACACCTGTGTGGGCACATCACTCATCACCTCAACACCCTGGCTATTCACAGTGCTTAATTTTAATTTAGCCACAGCTCTGCTCCTGCTCCAACATGGCTGCTCCCAAAAACAGCCTGTCCTTTCCTGTGCTTGTCATCCCCATAGGACAGGAGCAAATGCCACTTGTTCCAGGGAGAGAAATCCTGGTCCCCTCTCCTCTGGTAGCACAGACAGAGCCTTCACAGTGCCTGAGATCTGTGTCCCTGTCAGGACCCAGCCCAGAGAGGGCTCCCCTGAGCACAGCAGTGTCTGGTTGGGCACAGAACCTGTGCTGCGCTCAGCTCCTGTCCATTAATACTCCCAAAATGCTTCTTGCATCTCAAATCCACTGATGGGCAGCAGGAAGCCCTTAGGTACAGGCATAGCAATGTCCAAAGATTTTTGATTTTTATATATTTTTCGTATGTTTGTAGCTCTGTAGACTACTGTTCCACAGTTACGTAGCTCCTAGGAGTTTTCCTGCCCTTCCTCTTAGATTTTAAAATTATAATCTAAGCTTCTAACACATTCCTGAAATACTGTTTAGCCTTATTTTCAGGAAGAGGACGTACAAGAAAAACATTTTGTTTTCCAGTCAGAATCTGAGAAGACACAAGAAGAAACGGGTCAAGGAAGCCCTGAACCAACTCCAGTGGGGCAGTACCCGGGGGAAATTTACCTAACCAGCTGCTCTTCTAATTGGACAATGTTTGTTAGATATGCTAAACCTATAAAAACTTATATAAAGTTATAAAACTTGTAGAAAGGCAATAGCCATGGGTGTACCCATGACCACTGGGTCACCTGGAAGCTTCGAAAAAACGGTCTGCTTTTAATTTTACTATTTAAACACCTGCAAGAGTTTTTCTCTTTTGATATTAGGCAACAATAGCAGAGGCACAAGGACGGGGAAAACCCAGGGACAGCTCCAACCTCTGCTCCGTGGAAGATGTAAATTTTACAAGCCTTCAGCAGCTGCCTGTGGGCAGAAGGGCTCCTGCTTCTGCCACTTCTCCAGCCTCTACCCTGGAATGATGGATTCCTGCAGCACTGGAGCAGCCCCTCACTTCCCAGGTGCCAGGTTTTGCTCAAACCTTGAGGAACACTCCATAAAATGACAGAATCATCAAGATTTGAAAAGACTTCTAGGATCGTGGAGTCTTGGAGAGGGTTGCCACAGCCTTCCCCACAAAGGACTCAGACTTGCCTAAAGCAAGGAGAACATAAACATGGCCAAAAGGAGAGAAATTCCCTCTCAGGGAAAGCTGTGCCTTCATCATGGGCAACCTGGACCATTCAAAGCTCTCCTCTTGGATGTCACATTTCAGTCACTGTGACCCAGCCAAATACAGCTTAGCCAGAGCAGCAGCAAAAAGTCCATTCATTTGCAGGACTTAATTGAAATGAACTCTTGGATATGGAGACATCACCTGCCACCCTTGCTTGTTTTTCCTAATATAAAAATGCAAGGACCATTGCAAATTTCTTTTGGTTTCAGCACTTTTCTTATCACATAATTAAAATGCAGTGGGAAAGCTGCACTTGCCTTTATTATTCATTTAAATTAGCAGGAAGAGGTCAGCAACTGTGTTTATTGCTGGGTGTTACTTTGGCTGGAGATACTCAGGGTGAGCAAAGGTTGTGTTGGCTGAGCACTGATCCTGAACTGCCCTTCATCTACTCCAGCTCCTCAGATCCTCACCTACATCACCCTTGTGGAGTCTGAGGATGATGCTCTCTGCTCTTTCCCACCTGGACGACATTCCTGTGATCTAACTGGTCCCAGACTCTGCTTAGAGAAGCAAAAAAATGCTGAAGTTTGGGCTGGGATGGGAAAAGGGGCTGTTAGAAAGTGCCCCACTCAATGCCAAAGGCAATTCTGCTGTCACAGGGTGTTTCTTGTGTGCCTTCCTCACATGGTCATGGGGACAGTGTCACTCTGACCTCTCTCTTTCATGGCTCTACATGTTTCTGTGGTGCTTTTCTCCCCTGGCTCACCTTTGGAGAGACACACACGTGTGTTTTGGGAGGGATGCACAAGTTCTTGGTGTTGCACTGGGCTCTGATTTGGGGGTGAGCACAGCTTTCCTCATTCTGGGCTTTATTTGTATTCCAGGGCTGGACAAGGTGCACAGAGCAGATTTCCCTCTGCTCCAGGGACACCCTGAGATGTTTCCCCAACCCTTTTGTGCAGAGACTCAGGGGATTCCTGAGCCTTTTCCTTGGCCTTTCTGCAGGGAGGGGCAGTATGAGGAGGAGTCAGGGACAGTCTGAGTGCACAAGACAAGGAAGAAAACATCCAGGGCAGGCTTAGAGTTTCCATTTTCAGTTTTGCAGCCTGATTTCCCTGCCCAAACGCAAATCACATCACCTCTGAGCACAAATACTTCATTGAGCACCAGAACCATGACAGGGAAAGGACCCCCAGGTGTCCCCAACTCTTCCTGGCCTCACTGCTCCCCTTTTCTGTGTGCTCAGGGGGTCACAAACAAATCTGCAAGGAAATGCAAAGGGAATGGGAAGGGAAAAGGTGACCCTGCCATCCATCTTCACAGCATTAAGTGAACCCTGTCAGCTCTGTCCTCGCTGGCAGCACCCTGTCCCCTCTCTGCTGGGATCTGAGCACTCCTCTGAGCCGGCACAAAGGACGGACACACTCCAATCCAATTTGTTACACTTCCACCTTCCACAGAGAGGGAGGAGAGGGGGAGGGAGGTAAAAATCCCATTAACTTTATCAAGCTTTCCAATCAGGAGCAGTGGTAAATGCAAACTCAGGAGACAGCTGCTGTGAAGCCTTTATATTTCATTCAGCAGATAGTGTATCTTTTTATTGCACACAGGAATTACTTCTTCTTTCCTTTTTTTTTTTTTTTGTTTTTTTTTTTTAAGAAACAACCTTTCTGTTCAACTTGACTGAGGAAAAGGAAACTCCAGGGGCCTTTGACAATGAGGTGCTTCTTTGAGCTGCAGCAATGCCTGGATAGGGAGTGACTCTGTGGGGACAGGGAAGATGGGAACATGCCACCCTGCACCTCAAATCCTATAGAAAATGTTACACCTCCCTCGTGCCTTCCCTCTGGTCCAGGTCTAGGAAGAGAGGAGAAACTCAGCTCTGTTTCTGGGGTGGAGAAAGCACCACCATGGCTGGGAATAAAAGTTTATCTCAGAACATGGAGCTGAAGAACGCCAGAGAAATATTTCATGCCGTATGGAGTGAATCAGAGAATCACAGACTGGGTTGGGTTGGAAGGGATCTTAAAGATCTCCCAGCTCCACCCCTGCCATGGGCAGGGACACCTTCCACCGTCCCAGGTTGCTTCAAGTCCTGTCCAGCCTGGCCTTGGACACTTCCAGGGATCCAGGGGCAGCCACAGCTTCTCTGGGCAGCATCCACCAGGGCCTCCCCACCCTCTAAGTCAAGAATTTCTTTCTCAAAATCTAATCCAAAAACTCCCCTTCTTTTAGTTTAAAACCATTTTCCTTTCCCCTGACGTTCCATGCCCTTGCCCAAAGTCCCTCTCCAGCTCTCTTGGAGCCTCTTTAGGCACTGGAAGGTGATCTAAAATCTCTCTGGAGTCTCCTTTTCTCCAGGCTGGGCACCCCAAGCTCTCCCAGCCTGTCTTCAGGAGAGATAAATGCAAGCTGTCTGTCTTACTCTCTATATACTAAAGTTAGACACAGTTTAAATGTTTCTGGTTTAAATGAACTCCACATCCCAGCTCTGCAGGGCTGGTGAGGCAGTGAAATCTCACCTGACAGGATCCACAATGAGCCTGAGACAGCATCACTGAGAGCAAGCCAAGCCAGCAGCTCCCACCACCTCACACTCCCTTCCAAAAAGCATCTGGAACCCAGGGAAAGGCAAATGCCTCAGCATGAAGCCACATTCCTGCTTTACAGTCCTCACACCTTAATGTTTTCCCAAAGATGGGGTGTTTCAAGTGTGGGAGAGATCTTTTAAAAATGATAATAACAAAAAGAGAAAGAAGCCTTTACTCAGAGGGCTGCAATCTGGGGATTCGGACTAAAACCTAACCTCAGGGTGTCCAAAATAAAGGTTTTCAGCTGACAGCCTCCTCCAGGAGTTGCCTGGGCAACTGCCAAACATTGTGACATTTGCCACACTCACAAGTCCCTCTGCCTGCAGCTACCCTGCATTTAACAGCTCAAAACAACTCATTAGCTTGTTTGCTTTCTGCCATGCGAGCAGTCTGGCCTGAGTGTGGACAGAGAGCCCAGAAAATGGTGATGGGAGCAGGAAAGGATGCTGCTGTTTGAAAGCCACGGGTTTCCAGGCCAGATTGCAGCCATCTGCTCTGCCCTGCCCTGCTCCAGCCCCTCTGCAGCCCTGAGCATCCAGCTCGGGGCAGGCTGATCCTCAGAGCTCTGTGATGATTCCGGAGGGCCAGCAGTGCTTTCTGCTCTCCACTTGCTGCCTTCAGTGTCTCTGAAAGGTGCCAGGTGCCAATCAGCATCGTTTCCTTGTGGAAAAGCTGGGATGGAGCTGTGGATGGGTGTGTGGATCCTCCTGCTCCTGTTTCACCCGTGCCAGCCCTGCTCCTCCAGCCTTGTTATCTGCATTGCTACACTCCTACTGGATGAGGGGTTTTTATTTGTGTTTTAATTGGTTTTTCCCTGCCTCATCAGGGCTCCTGGACAGAGCTGCCCACTAGCCAATCTGTTCTCACTGTGGGCAAGCCTGTCCTCTGAGGGGTGCACATGCTCATAGCAACTTTCTGGAACTTTCTGCTCCTCAGCACCACTCAGGAGGTCACAGAATCACAGACTGGGTTGGGTGGGAAGGGATCTGAAAGTTCCAACCCCTTTCTATGGACAGCATCCACCAGACTGATGCCTTGGGAAGGCTGACCTAGAACAGAGGCTGGACACAGTTAATAAAGTAGGCATTTATTGAAAAGGCCTTAAAGGATTTTTACACCTTGGGCAGTACAGGAGCCCAGCCAGGGCTACACCCAAGATGGACCTAAAAATGGTCACAAAATGGACAACTGGTCATGAGGTCTCACATTTTCATAAGTTTTGGTCCATCTGCATGTCAGGGTTAATTGTCCAATCACAGCTTCAGGTCATGAAGTCCCATCCTTTGTGTTTTCTCTCTTCAGCCCACTGTTTTTTATGCTTTTGGGCCTGAAATTTGTAACTTATTGTCCTTGGAATCAAGATAGAAAAGGAACTGTTTTGTCTACCTACTCTGTGAAGAGAGCTCACCAACACTTGATATGAAGCTCACAACTACACACCTAGGGAAAAATATGAAAGCTAAAACTTAAAGCATCAAGACCAGGTTGCTTCAAGCCCTGTCCAGTCTGGTCTTGAACAGATCAGTATTTCTTAAAACAGCAGCAATTCTGGATGCAGAATTGTCAGGCTCCAGCTGGGACCTCCACACACTTCTGGCTCTCAGAACTACAGCAGAATCCAATTAATGCCTGTATTTACAATATGCAGGTGAAATTCCTGCATCTCATTATGGACACCTCCTTCATCCTCAAAGCAGAACAAACACTTCCCACTCTGACATCTGAGGGAACTGGGCTCTGTGGCCACCGTGGAGCACCAGACAGGTTGGGAGATGTGGCTGTGAGCCCCATTCCTCTGGTCTGGCACCTTGCCCTGCCTTTCCTCACACTCACCCCACCTCTCACCCCTCCCCTGCTGACTCACAGCAGCTCCAGAGCCCTCGTGGGTCTTTTCTGGTTGATGTACGTGATCTGTTCTTTACTGCTGCTGGTTTTGGCAGCTTGTTTCGTTATTCTAACTGTCTTTGATGAGCAATTTCTGTCAGGAACTCCTCCCTCCCCTACACATACACACACTCAGACACTTAACTTTAGTCCCTGACCTCTCATTCCTGCCTTCATTATTGCTGTGAATTGTTTCTTGGCCTCAGTCCATTCCTTCTCCTTTTGGTTCCTCTACAGCTCAGCTGGTTTTATAGACTCCATCATTTTCCAGCCCAGTCTCTTTCACTGAAGGTCACTGAGAGCAAATTCTGGCAGATTCAGCCACAGTGGAGTCCCCAGCCCTCCACCAGACACCTCAGCAATGTCCTGAGCAGATTTTTCTGCATTTTTTCATAGTATCCTGCAGGTGTGGTCCCACACCTGCCTGTGGACCCCAAATTCAGACACCCACTCCTCCCAGCATCCTCACTCCAGGTGTTTTTTTTTCCCAGGGGTCTTTGGCAAGAGAACGAGGACAGTCCCACTCATGCTTTTTCCAAACCCTTGTCCAGGATGAATTCTGAGGGCAGAAAAGCAGGGTGCTGGTCTTTCAAAGTGCTCAGGGCCAAAGATTTCCTAAGCCAGGAGCATAAACATCGCCATGATGTCCCCTCTGCCCTGTCACTGTGACTTCTCAGCCTTGCAGGGGGTGTGGAGATGGGTCCCTGCCCCAGCAAAGTGTCTGGATGGAGTTTCCCATCTCCCACCTCCCCTTGCCACCCTGGCCAGGAGCAATCTCCTACCCAGGTCCATGTCAGCAGCTTTGGGCCGGTGGGAGCAGGGCACGTTCTTGAAGATGGCATCGAGGATCTTCTCCTTGACCTGCGTGATAGTGTCGCAGTTGAGGATCTTCACCGGGATCTCGGGGCTGTTCACGTTGTCGGGGTTCACACAGCTCAGCACCTGAGAGAGAGACACCACAACACACATTTCAGTGGCACTGAAAGCCTCTGGCTGCCCCCCCTGCACTGTCTGCATCCTAAAGAGGGATCTGGGGTGCAGAAAATGGGTACCAAGGGTATTCCCTCCCTCACTTGGGCACAGAGATGTGGTTTCACATGGGGAATCTTCATTATATTTAATCATGGAGTCTCAGAAGGGTTTGGGTTGGAAGGGACCACAATGATCACCTCATTCCACCCCCTGCCATGGGCAGGGTCACCTTCCACCATCCCAGGCTGCTCCAAGCCCCATCCACCCTGGCCTTGGACACTCCCAGGGATCCAGGGACAGCCACAGCTGCTCTGGGCACCCTGTGCCAGGGTCTCATCACCCTCACAGGGAACAATTTCTTTCTTAACAGCAGAAAACGCATGAACACCAGCTGAGGTTCCGGTGCTTTCAGTAAAAAGTGTTCTTTGAGATGTCAAGGTGACCTAATTCAGGAGTGGCCTCCTTGCATTGCCACCTGGTTCTGATAGTCCCAGTGAAAAGCTTTGAGTTTGTCCATCTGCACAGCCATGGAACTGAGCAGACCCTTCTCAAAGGAACGTTATTAATCAAGTGCAGGGCTTCTTAAAAAAATGGAACACAAACCAACATCAACAACCTTTGCTTTCACATACAGAAGAAAATCAGCTGGGGAGGCCTCTCTTTTCTCAGAAGGAAAATTTAATTTTCTCCACTCTGTCCAAGAGTAAATGCAAAGCATGTGTTGAGGTGGGATACCTTAAACACAGAGTATTTAACAGCAATCTCCCTGCTAGCCCTTGGCTGTGTCTCTGTTGACCATTCTGCTCATTTCTGGTTGCACAAGTCTATAAAGTTTTATAAACTTAGCACACCTTTGCACTTGAAAGGGGTGTTCAGTGATGCTCCAGGCTGCACATGGTCATTAAATGCTCCTCTGGCACTTTTACAAGTGCAGATATGTTGGTTTTGGTGCCTTAGACAAATTTTAAACTTTTAGACTTAAACTCCCTTCTGTAGCATGCAAGAGGTGCTGGACTGTCCATCTCTTTCCATCTTCACCTCCTAAAATGCAGTGGGAACTCAGAAATGGGGTGAAATCCTGTCAGTCTAATTACACACTGCCTCACCAGGCTCCCTTTGGTGATGTTATGCTCGGCTGAGAGGGACTTGTGAAGATATTGCTTACAAAGAGCTCTGTGATCTTGCTGGATGAAAGGGGAGATGTAAATAGGAGATATTGATTAGATCATAATGCTATTATTTGTATGTCACTTCCAGAAGTATTGAAAAAGCATCAATTCAGATCGTAATAACGGCGCTGATTTACAGTTCTGGGGCGTCTTTCATCTCAAAGGATCACAGAATTGTACACAGAAGGTACTGTTGAAATGAATCCAGTGTTGAAGGCCATCAGGTGGTGTTGCCCTCCACAGCTCTCCTGGGTTATGCCCATTGCCAGCCCACAGAAACCTCTTCCTCTGCAAACTTCTTGGCTACATCCAGAAAATCCCACTTGATTGCTGAGAGCCTGAACTGGTGTTTGGTTTATGTTTGGACTTAATGATCTTAAGGATGTTTTCTGGGCTTAATTATTCTATCACACCCCTGCAGGGAAATGGAGCAGTGATGGCAGCGTGGGACAGCTCTTTGGGGTCACACCTGCTTCTGGGGACCAAGTTACTCTTCAGGTTTCTCTCTCTCTCTTTCAAGTCTGAGCTCAGCGTCAGGGGAAGCTCTGTGGTGTGATAAATCTCCGATACAAATAGCTGGATTTTGGGTCAGTGCCCCACAGAAGGTACTGGGTGTTTTTTAAAATGATCTGAGCTGCCCTGCCAGGCCAGCATCTGGTGCAGAAGACCCAACATCTCCTGCAGGTGCTGACCAGTGTTCCCCACTGGAAGATGACAATGGTGATTTCTTCTTGGCCATCCTTGAATTTCGCAGGGTGAAAATTAAAAAAAATCCAATTCAGAAAAAGGCCAGCTTTAGAAGGTGCCAGGAAAACTCTTCCTGAGTGGACCACACTCATTCACACCCTGACTACAGTAACCCTTGCTTTCCTCTTTTCCAGCTCAGCTGGAAGAGGAGCAGGGAAGGCAATTTTTCAAAGGGCTGTTCTTGTGTTTCAAGCACAGATGATGCAGTTGGTCACCCCTGAAAACCCCTAAATTCCTCTTTGGTCATTACAATGACTGTCAAGGATCTCCCAACAACATATTAGGGAATTCAAACACCAATTATGGAAGCCAACCCCCTGCCCAGAGCACAGTGGCTTTGGCACATATTCCCCAGGTTAATCATCTTTCCAGTGGAGTTTTCCAGATGTTGTCAGGTGGAACATGAAACTTTTCTCCACGCTCATAACAACCAAGCCAGAAACAAATCCCACTTTTCCAGCAGCGCTGCTCAGAGACTTCAACACGATCTCTGATGTCAGCTGGTGGGGAAGAGGCCCCATGGTGGCCTGGGTTGTGTTCCTTCAGGACTGGTCACTCTGAGGGAAGTTTTGTGATGTGGATCTCCTAAATGCAGTGTTGCTGCTCCATCACCAACCACCTTCATTTGGGCTTCAGGGTCACACAAGGATGTTCCTGTTTGGGCACTGAGAGGACACCAGCACTTGCTGTAACTCACTGAGGTTTGTGTCCCATCAGGATGCGGGGTCAGCGTGGATGGGAATGGGAGCACATGGAGAAGTTACCTCTGAGCCCTGCTCTCCCACTGACTCTGTGTGACCTTGGGACATCTCATTTCTCTGGATTTGTGTTTATTGACCTTTTACTCTGTCCTTGGGTGTTTTTTTTCTCTGCCAGCTCTTCCAGCCATGAGCTGTCTCTGAGTGTCTGTATACAAGCAAAGCTTGGCTCAGCTAAGCCCTGATTTCCACTATGGATTAGTGACATTTAAATAATAAAGGCAGAGTTTGTGATTACTCACATGGTGACCCTGGTTCTGAGTTTGAGTGGTTTTTCCTGAGACCAGGACATCTCTGCAGTTCCTGTCCCAGGGACAGAAATCATTCTCTTGCTTCTTTATTAGGCTGGGGTTTTCATACAGTGAGGTTTGGTGGAGAAAAAGGAGGAAGACCCGAAAAAAGCCAAGCATATGAAAGGATTCTGAGAATTATAGAATTGTAGAATGGTTTGGGTTGGAAAGAACCTTAAAAATCATCTCATTCCAATCCCCTGCCATGGGCAGGGACACCTCCCATCATCCCAGGCTGCTCCAAGCCCTGTCCAGCCTGGCCTTGGCCACTTCCAGGGATCCAGGGGCAGCCACAGCCTCTGTGGGCACCCTGTGCCAGGGCCTCCCCACCCTCCCAGGGTAGAATTTCTTTCTAATTTCTAATCTAAACATACTCTCTTTCAGTTTGAAGTCATTCCCTCTTGTCTTGTCACTCCAGGCCTCTGTAAATAATCTCTCTCCATGTTTCTGTTGGAATTCCCATATTACAACCACTGATTCAGTTCTGGCTTTATTCCATTGCTCTATATTTTTAATAAGAGATGTCAGGCAGCTCAAGGAAAGTAGAAGAAGGACAAAATAAAACAGAAATAAAGAGAAACAGAAACGAAGAAAAATCCAATTCATATTCTTCTCCTTCTTAATCTCCTTCACCAGGGCTGATCTCTGTAAATCTGCTGAGATTCCTATCGGGATATATTTGTCTGCTCTTGAGATGTAAGAGGGAGAGCTGATTATCATCAAACAGCACAAAGCCAGTGGAGGAGAGCTTTGTTCAGCCTGATGTATAATTACTACCCTTTGCTGGCTGCTTTAGATCAAGCCTAAAAGGATCGGGGGGATTTCCTTCAGTGAAAGTGATCACTCTGTGGCTGCATTTTTTTCTCCTTTCTGCTCATTTTCTCCATGTGTGATCAGTCCTGTGAAATTTTAGACAGCCAGGCGTAACAGCAGAGAGGCACCACTCTGCCAATTTAGTAGGAAAGTCATGTTTTTAATATGCAGAATAAAACTGTGGCCTTATTTAAGAATTAAATCCACCCCCTCATCAGACTTGGATTCAATCAAAGCTCAGCTCTAGACTGGAGTTAAAGAAAATGAAAGGATATTTTTAGCATCAGCCCACCTGAGCTAAGGCCTAAGACAGGTCAAGGTCTCAGACTTGGAACTAAATGATCTGTAGGGTCCCCTCCAACTCAAACCGTCCCATGATTCTGTGATTGGACACAGCCTCAGAGGTACCTGGAGCTAAGTGAGATGAATGTCCCTCATTTGAAAGTGCAAATTAAATAATCTGAGCAGTTTAGAGCATCTTCTGACTGTCCAAAAATGTGGGATTTGCTGAGAATAAAGATGTGAAATAGAAAAATTACAATCATTGAAGGCTTAGAAAGTGTTCTCCATCCAGCAGAGACTTAGAAACTCAGTGGATTTAATGCATCCAGGAAAGAATGAAGGCCCACAAACACACTAAGAGATATCTAATGCTCTTTAATTGATGCTCTTTAATCAAGTGGGAAGAGGGTGTAAGCTCAGAGCAGAAGCCAAAGCTGCACATATGCAGCGTGTACCTTGCACCATTCCATTTTGACAATTCCATTTTGAGGGAAATGGCTCAGTGACAGGGATTAGTTTCTTTCTTTTGAAATCTTTAAATCAAGTTCCTTTTTCTTTGGCTTGTGCTTCTTCAAAGAGGGAGGGCTGCACCAACTCTAGAGCTGACCTGATAGGTCCCTGCACTGTGTAACTCTGACTATTCCTTAATGCTGAAATCTTCATTGGAGACATTTCTAAGTTTTAATAGTCAGCCTTAGGCAGCATTACCCTACTAAAATACAAGAATAAATCATCCCAGAGGGTGAATCACTGGTTTCTGCTCTCTAAATGCCCTCTAGCCAGAAGATTCTGGACAAGCCCAGGGGAAGGTGTGCCCAGAGCACTCACCAGGGTCTTGTAGTCGATCTGCTGTCGGATGAGCTTGTCCTCGCTCAGTGAGTACCGGGCCTCCCCAGTGATGGAGTCGATGGGACCCTTCTCCATCTGCTGCTTGATGGCACAGAAAAGGGAGAAGAGAGGCTCTCCAGCACACTCCTGCAGGGATGAAAGGCAACCATGAGGTGAAATGAGGCTAGAATTGAGAATTCAGCCTGGGCATCCCTGTGACTGCCTTGGTTTGCCATCCCAGATCGCTCATGATGGATACATCAGTGGGAAACAGTCTATTCCAGCAGCACAGGATCAGGAGTGACCCTCCACTTCCACAGAGTGCAACCAGCCCTTGGGCACATGGTGGGACCCTCAGGGATGGTCCTGTGCAGTGCCAGGGGTTGGGCTTGATGATCTTTGTGGGTCCCTTCTAACTCAGCTCATTCTGTGGCCCGGTGAGTGTCCTGTCATGGGACAAAGGTGTCAGCGTTCCCTGGCAATGTTCAAGAGATTGCCACCAGGCCAGAGCTTTGCAGTGCTGGAGCAGCCAGTGGGATGGGTCCCAGGTGACCTGGAAGCAGGCTCCAAAGGGAGATGGATGGCAGGTGCCCCATCCTGGGTGTCTGGGCAGAGTCCACAGAGCACTCCCATGCTGCAGGAGTGCTCAGGCCCAGATGTGCCCCTGGACCTGTGTGGAGGTGACAGAAGCGTGGGGCCCAGCACAGGACAGCAACAAGCAGCCCCAGGCAGACACAGCAAAGCTCATTTACCCTGAACTTCTCATTCCCACTCACTGCACTCCTCTTCCCACACTTTTCCTCCCTTGCTGCTCACCCTCAGTGCCATGCAGCTGGAGCTTTCTGCTCCTGCCTCCCTTCCCCATCATCCCTCCCTTCTTCCTCCCCTCCTCGCCCTCTCCTCTTGTGTCCCAACTCAATGAGCGAGGTCATTTTCCTCTGGTGTAAATCCCAGTGAAAACAAGTTAATAATCGGAAGCAAAGTGGCCCCTTTTTCAGTCCCTACACCTGTCTCCCACTTAATTAGCTTATCTGCCAGCAGCATATTGCTTCTGTGTGCCTGTCTCCTGCCCTTATCAGGCCTCTGTTCAGGCTAAGGCAAGAAGACAAGTAGCTGAGTGGGGTGAAAAAAGCCTATTATAAAAGCAGCTCTTTAGAGAGTCACCTCCTTATATCCTTTCCTTTCAGCTGAAAGCAGGGATCTGATACTGAAGTCACTGAAATTACCTTCCAGGGACCTTCAAAACTTTCCCATGTGCTCATCCTTGAACTGGTCGTGCCTGGGGAAGGCTCAGGGGGATTGGGGTTTATTTGTAAAGCCTCAAATTGCCTGGCAGAGGTGGTTATTCTGTCCAAATGAGGATGTGAGGTGGGAGGATATTTAGCAGCTGCACTGGGAGTGGGGGAGAGGTGCAGAACTCAGCTCCTTCCAAAAAGGCTGGCTCTGAGCTTGGAAACTGTGATTCTTGAGGCTCAGTGTTTGCTCCCCAGCGGAAATTGGATCCCCCCAGCAGTCAGTGGCAGAGCTCAATGACTGAAAGACTTTTTTAACTACACAAACCCCAAGGAGACCTTCCAGGAGGAATGAGAGAGCTCAGGGGGTGCCTCAAATTCTTCCACTCTAATTCTTTCACACAGCTTTGCTGATGGGCGTCCCTCCACTCCTCGTGGGGCTGTGTCTCAGTACTGCCTCTGAGCTGAGGGGAAAGGAGATCTCCATCCACTCTGAACTGAAACTATGGGTCACCACATGATGGAGACCTCAGCCTGCCGTTAAAAGGACAGCGTTCTCCACACAGGTCTCAGTCAGGCTCTGAAATCCTCCCCACTTCAGCGCTGACCCTTAGGTCCCACCTCTGTACAAGGGAGAGACCGACAAGTTGCCTCTTTAACAAAGTGTCCCCCTTTGTTCTCCCTTGGTCAGAAAATAGCCCATCTCCTATTAGGCAGTGACCTCCTTCCAGAGGCAAAAAAAGCCTTTAGCTTGATATCTGAGAAGTTTTCACCCCAACTGATCCTCACCAAGAAGAAATGCTTTAAAGATGTTTTTCCGGCTGCTTCTCCTCTTACCTTGAGGAACTTGTAGAGGAGGAAGGTGAACCAGTTGGTGAGCATTTTCTCAGCCACAGATTCTGTCCTAAAGTAGAGAAAAAAAGAGAATTGGAAATGAGTCAGGCATGCTGGTCCTATCAAAATTCTGTCCTTGTCCATCTTCCTGCCTGGTGGGAAGTCTGGCATGGCACCATCAGGATTTAGCACGTCCTAGGTACCCTGTTTTAGTTTTGGATTTAGGAAACCTGCAGGAAAACCCTTGCTGCCCTGTTGATTCTGCTGTGACTACAAGTCCCTGTGTATCTGTTTTTCAGTTTCTCCAACAATGAAAAGGAGTTGACGACATTTGAGGGAATCTTCTCCAAAGAGCACAGGGGGGATAAATTCATCAAATCTGAGGAGCTCAGAGTGAGGCCATATGTCAAGGAGGCTGTATAAATACTCAGGAGAGACAGATCTAAGTCTCTGGGGAACAGTTATCTGGCACTGCCTATCTCCCTGGCATTTGGGAGTGATTACAATCCTCAATGTGTCAATGTGGCACATATGAGGAGCTCATCCTTCTGCCCTTGAGAACTCTGTCCTCAATCAAACAAAAAATCCATCTCGAGGCTCCAGGGTGAGCTTCTCCTGCAGAAACATGTGCTGGCTCCAGTGCATACACCAGAGAAAAACCAAGAGAAACCAAGAGAAACTTGGAGAAACCAAGAAAAAACAGGAGTCTCTGCCTGGAAGAATTAAGTGGGTCCTCCTTGTCCCAGCTCTCAACAAAGCCATGTAGAAGCTCTTGTTGCTGCAGCTTTCTGCCCAGAAGATCTCTTTAGGGCCATAAATGTCACATGGAAAAAACACTGGACACAGGTGAGTTGGGAAAATCACTTCTACCAGCTCCTTTCTTCTGTCACACTCCTCCAAAACTGCAAAAGATTCCCTTTCACAGACTCATGGGGAGGGAAGGGAAGCATCAAGCTGAATCCAGCTGCTCCAAGGAGCAGTCTGAGGTCCTCACACCAACACCTGACACAAGGCACTGTTCTGTTCTGGTGCTGCTCAGTGCAGAACTTCCTCCTCTGACTTCTGATGTTTCTAGGGTTTGGAGCACTGGATGTGCCCTCTTTGTTCACTGTCTGTCCTTACAAAGGCCATAATTAATTTCCAGCAAAGAGGATTAGACTTAGAAAAGAGCAGGAAGAAGGAGAAAGAGGAAAGGTGGGATGCTCAGAGTGAGCAACAAGGGAAGACAAAGAGGTGGAGAAAGGGGAAGGAAAAGGAGGAGATGAAGGAGGAGGGAGTGCTACCCAGCATCAGAGAAGAAGAACAGACAGGAAGCCTGGGGACAGCTGGAGGGTGGTCACCAGCCAGGCTCTAGGGCTTGAGCACATCAGGCAGTCAAGTGACACCAAAGAAAAGTCCAGCCTCTGCCACTGGCATTGCTGCCCTGAATGCCAGGAAATGCCTTCTGCGCCTTTTTTGCTGGTTCTCCACAGTGGGCCATGTGCCAGATGAAAAACCTCCCAGCCCAGCAGGCACCAGAGATCCCTTCCCTGTCCAAGCTGTCCATCGTAATCAGCTGAGGGCTCCTCAGAGTCAGCTCTGGGCTGTGGCAAAGGCCACTCATCTCCAGAAGACTTCCCCTGATTTTATTTAGGGTCCTTGAAGCAGGAGGGTTGGTTCAGTCTGTGAAAAGGAGATGAATCTGATCCTAAAGGGAAAAGAGGCAGCACTTCCCTAGGCAGGGAAAGTTAATTATAGAGCAGTAGACTCCTAATTCAAAGTTTCCCACAGAAATGTGGAGTATAAGACCTTAGGCCAGGCCAAGAAGTACCAATCCAAACTTGTTCCCTGTATGAAACCAGTTCTGTTGTCCTGCTTCTCTGCTGATCTCCACAAACTCCCAGCACTGGGAGCGAAATGAGTTCTCACAATGCAGCTGCAGTCTCTCCATTTCTCTGTAGTTAACTTAGGAACAAGAAACAAGGCTGGGAAATCCATATCCCAGGCAGGAGATTGAAGAAGGGGTTTAATGTACCAGATATGTGATATTCCTATAGGTCCTACACAACATGATTGGGATTTTCAGGTTAAAAGGAAACATAAACAGAAATTAACATCTTTGGCTTGCAAAGACCCCAAAATAAGGATTGAGCTATTAATGTCCTTATGAAACTTTCTGGAGGATCCACACGAAAACCCAGAGGTGGATCCGTCCTGTAACTTTTGATCATTTACTTCTTTTTGGTTAGGGAGGAGACCGAGCAAGATCTACATCTCCAAAGACGATTACGATGTTTGTGTGGGCACAGCCTTCCCAGCCAGGCTCCCTCCATGCCCAGGCATCCTTACCTACGGAGCAGCAGCTTGGGGTGGTTCTTGCTCTCCAGGTTTTTGTCAATGAGGTCGGCCAGGAGCTGTTTGAGGACGTCGGTGGCGTACTCCAGCTTGCTCTGCAGCACCGTCATGATCAGCGAGGCCACGTTGCCGCGGTCCCGCATGGAGAAGCTGCGCTGCGACTCCAGCGTGCGGATGAAGGACAGCAGGAAAACCTTGTTGTTGATGAGCTGGGCAAAGAGCTTCAGGCCCTTCTCCACCCGTTCCTGCCGGTAGCCAGGGACCTGCACAAGAAGAAAGGGAGTTTTTTTCCTTTCCCTGGTTTTCCCATTGTCAAATGTCCTGTTGTCACACTCTCTTTGCTACCTCCCTGCTCTCATCCCTCCAGCTCCTCGGCTAAGGAAAGACAGGAAGGGAATCCTTACATAATAAAGTTTGATAAGACTCCCAGCCACATCCAGATGATTTTTCCAATCCTGTGCTCCCTTCTCTGAACAGTACATCCAAAAGGGATTTCTGGTGCCTAAATGTGTCACTGTGCCACGTTATATTTTTATTTTAGTCAGACTGAAGTCTTACTCTGATTTCATCCAAAACTTCTTTCTCATTCCTGCAAGAAACCTGCTTGCAGAGGTTTGGGGTCAGCTTTAGGGAGCTGGGAGAGGCAGCAAGAGAGTGAATGGGAAAGAGAGCCCAGGGTGAGGTTTTGAGGAGAGGAAGAGATGCAGTGAGGCAGTGGCTGAGATGGTGACCATGGAGCTGGGCCTTGGTTTGAAGAGCAAGGCAGGTGAAGGTTGAGACGACACCCTAAGCTCCAGTAGAACCCCTGGGTTTGGGGGCTGAGGTGTTTCAGAGACAGAGGGACTGATAAATCTTGTATTTCTCAGCTGTGAGAGGCTGATGAACTCATTTTAATATGGAACAATTCAGGACCTCAATGCTGGAGCCTAGGCTCCACAGAGGTCTTTTTGATCCTTCCGGCTCTAGACAAAAACGGAACCTAAATAGTGAACCCCAAACTCATCCCTCCAGTTGCTGAAGCTGTTCCAGCCCTTGAAAAAGCTTTCTTGGAAGCTGGATGGTCTCACCACAGAGCAACACTTGCCACCAAGGCATATATGAATTAATAACCACCCAAATCTGGCGCTATAATACAAAATAAGTTGGCTTGCTTAAACAGCCAAGCAATGCAAGGCCCCTTATAGAGTCGTTACTTTTTCATTCTGGAAATTAGAGTTCTCAACTCTTTTTGCATCCAGCAAATAAATTACTTCCTAAATAGACTGAGACAACCAACAAACCACCACTACCCATCCTGCCAATAATTATTTTTAACTCACTTGCTTGAACATTTAATATTGTCTATCCCTGGGTTATTATGGAGAATTAAAACAAAATAACAAGAAAAGTATTTTGTGCTGCATCTGGAAGCAGTTAATTAGCAAATGAACTGGAAATAACTAAGACCTTCTCACAGTGGGATCTGTGCTGGGGCCTTTTGCAATAAATAGCAATTCCTTCTGGGTGCTACAGACAGGGGAGCAGAATGCGAGCTGCCTTCACGTTGGTAGACAAAGGGGTTGACACTGAGAGAGCTGGTGAAGCTTTAAAAAGGATTAAGGAAAAAAAAACAACGAATGGAATGAAAGGAAGAAGAGATCAAAGGTGTTGGATTGAAACATTAGCTCAGTGTGTATCTGCATAGGGGAGCATCCGTGCTACGGCCTCTGCAGGGGTCAGATGCTGCTCTGTGATCAGCTGGATGGGGTTAATGAATGTAGGGATTGAAATTGGCTGTGGGGATAATGGAAGTGCTTGTGTGTGCACACATGTGAGAGGGAGGTTCAGCACCCCTCGTTCCTCCTCGTTTGTTGGAGCTGCTCGTCCTGAGGGAAGGCAGCTGGACACCCCTCGACCTGCACTCCGAATCTATGTGCTAGTTATGTGTAACTCAGCCTCCTACCCAGTCTCACAAGCCCTCCTTGCTGACAGATCAGGTTTTTAATGTCTCTCTCTCTCCACACAGTTGGATGAATTTTGGCTCTTCGGAATGGCAGGAGCAAAGCCGAGCAGGCATCTCTGATTACACAGCCAGCCAAGCGTGGGCCTGCCTGTGCCAGCTCCTGCTCCTCCTTCCTGCCAACCCAGCCCAGGCCTGGCCTCCCGCAATCTCCCAGGCCCATGCCAGAGCCTCTCTGGAGCTCAGAGCCTGGCAGAGGCTTTGCAGAGAGCTCAGCCAGCACCTTTGCCATGGTGTAGCTCCTGATTCTCCAGCCCAGGTATTCCTAGAGCATTCCTGTCCATCTGCCAGAGCCTGGAGCTGATTTCAGCCCAGCAGACCTCACCTGGGCTCCCATCAAGCTCCTGTCACCACTCAGGTAATAGAGGCTCTGTGCAGACCCCAAGATTTGTGAACAATGTCTCACTGCACTCCCATCTCCCTCCAGAGAGTCGGGGTGGGTGAGGAGGGTGTGGGCAGGGAATGGACACACAGACACTCTGGTTTTCTCATCTCACTTCAAGCCAGAAGGCAGCAAAGGTGAACCTCCCTCAGTGACAGGGGGTTATTTTTATAGGGGTTGCCACAAAGAAAACCTGGCCTCTTAGTAGTGTGAGGGTCATGCAAAGCTGGATGACACAGGCAAACACGATTCTCTGTCATACAACAAGTTTTCCTTGCTCTGCACAGCAGAAAATATTAAATTCAGTCTAAAACTCAAGCCACAGAAGGGTTAAGACCAAAGAGAAGCTTAATTGAGTGGCCCTAATGCATATGGATTTATGAGTTGTCCAAATAAATGAGTGATCTGACAGAATTTAGGAGGTAACAAGTGACAAGATGAGAGGAAACGGCCTTAGAGTTGCGCCAGGGGAGATTTAGATTGGAAATTAGGACAAATTTCTTCACTGAAAGGATGATCAGATGGTGGAACAAGCTGTCCAAGGGAGTTGTGGGATCACAATCCCTAGAAGCTTTCAAAAAGTGTGGATCTCGCACGAGGGGACATGTTTTAGTGATGGAATTGGCAGCAATGGGTTAATGATTGGAATTGATGATCTGAGAGGTCTACTGCAGCCTAAATGATTTTATGATCTAATATGATCTAACAGCAAACATTTCCCCTTTCATCCCAGATTTTTAGTGAGGACCTGTTTGACCCCTTGTAGGACACAGCATAATCAAGCCATCACATGCCCACCACTGGCACAGCACCTCTGGAATTCAGGACTGAACAGGGAGGCATGAGAGGAGCTAGAAGCAGGAAATGTTGTTGTTTTACCTCCAAATCCCTCAGGACTGGATGATCTTCAATGCCAGGGAAAAGCACTCTCATTGTGTAGGTTCGGTAGTCAAGGAAAGGGATCCCAGCTCCATCCAGGTCACTCGTCAGCTCATGGATATCTGTCTGCAGCTCTGCAAAGGCTGGCACAAAACCAGAACAACTCAGGGAGCAGTGAAAATCCAGATCAACCTCACCAGAATGGAAAAAGCCCCTGACCCTCCTGCATGAGAACAAGGAGAGGCAACATGTGGAGAGGAAGAAGGTGGAGAGAGCAGGGTCACCTTTCCCACAACACAGCCTTTCCCCAGGGACATGTGCCAAGGCTTTCTGTGGATTTTGAATCATCAAATCCAGTTAGAAGGGGGTGGAGAAAGTCTGGACTAAGGGAAAACAGGGAAAGTCAACTTAGATCCCGGCTGGAGCCACACCCACAGGGTTCAGGTGGTATTTTGGCTCAAAGCTTTGTGACTGGGTGTCTCCCTTCTACCAACACTGACACAGAGTCATGCTGCCTCCCTCACCCTACCTTCTTTGCACTCCAGGGCCACCCTGGACTCCAGGTTGTCCATCTGCATCTGCAGGCGCTTGAGGGTGAGGTCGCTCTCCCTGGACTTGCGCTTGTAGGCGATCAGCACGGCCACGATGAAGATGATGAGCAGCCCACCGGCCACCGCAATGCTGACGATGGCTGGCAAGCTGAGAGGGCTGTCTGGGGAGATGTAGACCATCCCTGGAGAGAACTCCATCCCTCCTACACGAGCCTAGAGGGAAAGCAGCAAAGAGCTGCATTGAAACTGTCAAACAAGCAGGAAGGCAGAGGAACTCTGTCATCGTCCTGGCTGAGGGTGAGTGGTGACATCCCCTTGTCTCCCCAGACAAAAGGGGAAGTAGCTGGATATGGAACAGCCTCAAAACACTTGAAATGCCAGACAGAATCACCTCTGTTGGCAGTCACCGGGAGCCCAACCACAAAAGGACTTGTGGTGAGACAAGTCACCAGTCACAGTTTCTCCGTATCAGTTCAGATTTCATTCTGGATTTTTCGTTCCCCATCCTGATGTGTTGTATGATGTCACCTAGTCCCAAAATACACACCGAACACAGAGCTCAAGGGATGGTCTGATGGGTCCTGACCCCACAGTGGGGACAATGGGACTGCAGAAATCAGTCACTATTTTCTTTTGACTCTCCCACCAGATAGAACTGTACTTGGAAGCCTCTGGGATAGTGGCAAACCACCACAAACCCTACGAAGCCCAGCCCATTCTCTTTACAGCTCCTATCTTAGCCACACATCGTCAGGGTGACTGCAGATGTTCACCTGTAGGAGCTGAACACAGCTTTTTGTTCTCCATGTACTTCCAGAGGTTCCCAGAGCTGCTTCCAGCCTCTGGAAGAAGCTCCAGTGAAAGGGCTTTGGTTTTAATAACCAGAAAGAAACCCTGCAAGCACTCCTGTTGCAAGCCCAACAAAATGTTTTGCTGAAGAAAGTCCCTTAGAGTCTTTTTTTACAACCTGAACACCACTCCCAACAGGAATCCCACAGGATACCGCTGGCTTCGGGCTACTACAAGGCTGTTCAAAGCTATTTGTAAAGTAGGCAAAGCTTGAGAGGTGGAAGAAAAGCTCTGCTGACCTGCCTGAAGTATAAAGAGGCTTCTAGGGCTGTGTTGTGGTTTGGGAATGCTGGTTGTCGATCAGCAGAAAGCTGGGAAGATGCCATGCAAAGAGCTTGAAGGATGGTGAGCCCCATCACTTCATCCCAGCTGAGCTGTGGCACAGAGAGGCACAGCTGGCCCTGCACAAAGGGCAGACTCTTGCTGCCAGGCAGAAATGCACTCAAGACCCCAGGGCTGAATGTTTCCTGCTCCCATTGCACCTGGGACCACTGCAGTGTGGAATTAAACTGTTTTCTTCCTCCATTGTGAGGAGTTCTCCCTCACATGTCCTTACATTTCTCCCCCACACCCCAGCCTGGTGTTCAGCCTTGTCCTGCATCCCACTGGCTCTCAGATAATCTCCAGCCTGCCTGGACACTTGTTAATCCCAGGCCTTCCCATGTCTCAGCTCAGGCACCTCCTCAGGTTTCCTCCCTAGGCTACAGGAGGAAGAAACTGGCTCAGCTACAGCCAGCAGAAGAGACTGTGGAGCAGAATCATGAATTAATGAATTTTCCCAGGTGATCTCCACCCCAACCCTTTTTGGGAAATGAATCTCAGTGACCTTATCATCTCCTAGAAGTTATTCCAGTACCAACTGCAGGCCCTACCAGCAGGTGTAGGCTGCTCCTCAGTGGGTCCTGTCCAAAGAGACACAATTTACAACCCTTATGTCATGGACAAGACCAAAGTGAATGTCTGAAAACAGCTAATTTCCATCCACAAGGCCCTCTCATGCCATTTTGGGATGGGGTTTAGAGAGATGAAATATTCATGACGAAAAACAAAACAAATCCTAAACTCATCTGTTTAGGTAATAGTTCCAGGATGACCAATTGCTGCCATGATGACACTGATGGCTTGTAGAGCATTTTCAGTGGCCAAAGAACTTCAGACACACAGCTGGGGATGCAGCAGTAATGAGTTTTCCCATCTATTTCAAGATACAAGATCCAACTCACTTATAAATCCTGAGGTTTGTTGCTGGAATGTGGCCTGCTCAACTGAGCAGGAAAATTGCCAAAATCACGTCCTAATCCATGCACTGGAAGTTGTTCCCTTTTGCCCTAGACCACTGTCCCAAATCCTCCCAGCAAAATTTTCTCACAGCTCACACACTTTCCTTCCTGTCAGTGGATCAATAAATAGATTAATCCTTTCTCATTTTCTCTTTCTCCAAGCCCTGCAGTCAGATAAGTCCATTCAAGGAATATCAGACTAGACTCAAACAACCCCAATCCCAAATCCCAGTGCAGATCCGTCCTCAAAGATGGAAGAACAGCCCATCTCCACGGGCTTCTCTCACCAAATATTCCACGTGCACATCCAAGTTAGACACTGCAGCACGATTCCAGAGTCAACAAAGAGAAAAGCCACTTTCAGGATGTGATTTATGTGAGCTGCTTCTGACACCTTTGACTTTGGGATGAGACGTTTCATTCAGTGGAAGTTCCCATTTCTCTCCATTAATGATAAAGGGATCTAAGCTCCAAAAAGCAGGTGTTCAAAGTTAGGCCCAGTGTGTTCCCCTTTAAAGGTGGTTTCATCACTGGGAAGGTCTCACAACCCACAGGTGAAGCTGCCACTATCTGAGGGAATCTGGCTCTTGAAGAAGAAAGTCTATGAGGCTGCAGTGTTATCATGAGCTTTTAAAAGAAACAGAAGAAAATAGCCCTACTTTATTTCTTAATCCACCGAGTGGTTCTGGAGGAAGCTATTTTTACCTTCCAGGAGATTGACCATGAACCTACCAAACAACAACAGTCTGGCCATTTTTAAAGACTATTAATCATGAATTTGCCGTAAATTACACTAAATATTCTAAATGGGCTCTATGTCAGAGCCTGGGTTTCTCCAACAAAGTCTTAGTGGCCACCTGTAGGAGTTTAGGAGTTCTGAAGGAGTGTCTTTCCTGGTGCAAATTTGTTCTGGCCAAATAAAATTATCCCTCTAAGGGCGAGATGAATCATGCCCTGAACTTCAGCTGCTGCACTTGACCATCTCTCCATTCATTATACAGAACCTTTCATTATACAGCAACCCTTCAGATGTATTCCACATCTTCCCTGCAGACCTTCTCTGGTGTAGCCACTCGTGGATCTTCCTCACATCTCTTTTCCTTGGAAAAAACTTGCCTCTGAGTTTCAGTCAATCTTCTTTTTAGCCATTGCCCAGGCCTTTTATTTCTTTGCTATTTTTCTTCAAATACTTAGCTCTGTCATTGTGTAAAAGACAGCTGAACCAGATCGAAAGCATGTTGACATCGGCGTGTGTCATTGCCACTGCTCCTTCACTTAGAAATAATCTCTGTGTTGCATCAGTTGATTCACTTCCATGGCTCCCTCTCAGCTCCTGGCCACCTCACTTTGCAAGAAAGGGTTTGTTCAACAATTTCCTCAAGGTCAGGCAGTAAATCTTCGGCAGAATCAGGAGGAGGAATGACTATCAGTTATCCTGGCCATCAAAGAGATGTTTATGTAAAACATGGCCCCAGCCTGAGCAGCAGAGATGCTGTGCCAGGCTGGAGGAAGCATTTTCCAGCTCTGGTTCCAGATGCAAAGTCCATCCTTGAGCACCTCCATCACCTTCCCAATTTCCTAGCAGTATCCCTTGTTTGACCAGCATCCTCAAAAAGGGATTGTTTTTTAATCTTTGGCTTCACTTAAACGGTCCCAGGCTGCAGGAGCAGGGGAGTCTTCTCAATTAGCACAGCCTGGCCAGATATCCATCGTCCTGGATCCCCAGGGGTTGATTATTGCTCACTGGGATTGAGTTTTGTCTCCCCAGGAGAGGCTTTGTCCGTCTCTGACTGACCATATGTTTAATCATATCCATGAAAATGACAGGGAACATTTATTGCCGTGCTCAAAAGCTTTGGTTTTCACACAGAGAAAATCTCTCACTTCATTACTGCTCCTCTTGGAGAGTCTTAATGTGCTTTGCAATGAGTCGAGGGTCACGGTGTATTTGCATGGCTGGAAAGGATTATTACCTCTATTTTCCAGATGACAAACTTTGGCACAGAGAAGTTAAGTAGCCACTGCGAGGGATCCCAGCAGCAGCCACAAGCAAGACCCAAAATGACCGTCATGAACTCTGCTTCCTAAAAGTTCCCAGAAAAATCTTTTTAGAGATCAAATTATCTGAGTCTCATCCCACTGAAATAAATAAATTAATATGTGACAGCTACAGCTTTGGGAGGTGCAACAGAAAAACAGTTCACAAGGAATGAGAAACACTGATGTCAGTTGTCAGCTTTTGTTGTTCCCACCCACAGCTTGGTACAGCTCCAGGGTGTTTGCTGATATGATGTTTATCAAGCACCAGCATCAAGGATTTCAAATTATTGAGAGGAAAATAAAAAAAAGGAGTAAATAAATAAACGGTGAGAGGAGAAGCTCCCTCTGATGTAATCACCAGGTTCATTCTTCACAGGTTCCAGGAAGGATTTGAAGGAGCACATTAAGTTTTATAGAAGTCATAACTCCAAAGCCCAGTCACACTATGGTCCACATCCTGCTTTTTTTTTTTTTATTCCTCTCCTACATAAAGGCAAATTTTAGTCACCATCCTGTCAACAAAATGATGTGGACTGTGATGAATTTAACAATTTCATGTAGGAACATGTTACACATGATCTCACATGAGCATCCAGGGTTCATGGAACAGCCCACAGAAAACCAGAAGAGAGGCAAACTCTCCTACTGGAGTTTGATCATGAAAGGTATCTCATTGTCCACAAAGATCTCCAGGTCACTTTTCCCCTGTTCTACTTCTCCAAGCTACCCTTGATGAGAATACTATTCCCAAAAGGGGCCCTGATGTTTCTGGGAAGGCAAACAGTGATGGAGCCCCCTTGGAGCACTCTGCCAACTCTTCAGCTCTGCTGTGCCCTCCCAAGCCACCCAGGGAGCAGAGGCTGAGGGTCAGGCATCACTTACCATCACCTTGTGCCTCCCAGTGAGGTTTGGGGACTCGCAGAGGAGCTGCACGTCTGACACGGTCACTGCACAGGGCTTCTCACCCACCAGAACGGTGTAGTTCAGCTTGGCATTGCCTCCTGCCACCGGTGGGATCAGATTCCTGCCCTGCACAGAAAGGAACATCACACCCCAAAATAACCAAATAAACATTAGGAAGGAGTTTTCTTTCCCCCTCTGGGTCATTCCTGGGATACAAGTGTCGTTACTGCATTTGATAGGTGTGGATGGCTGACCCCTGACGCTGCTCCAGGCCAGGTTGGATGGATGAGGCTTGGAGCAACCTGGTCTAGTGGAAAGCGTTGCTGCCCATGGCAGGGAGTTGGAATGAGATGCTCTTTAAGGTCCCTTTCAACCTAAACATGATTCTATTATGACATTGGTAGCTCACCATTTGCTCACACAGAGAGGAAAAGCCAATTTAGGAGCTCATGCAGAGAACAGCATGAGTGGTTACAGATTCAAAGTAGTCACAACAGCCTGTCCTGCTCCTCCCTCTCTGCAACTGAATGAGAAATGTTCCCCCTAAGTCCTGTACAAAAAAAAGCCCTCACTAAACATAGACAAGTAAGTCAGACCCCCTTCCAAACATGAAAAAAGCATCTGCAAGTAAAATAACTTCTTTGCATATTCGCCATGTAAAAATAGTGATACAGAAATGCTGCATCATAAAACTCCTTCTCTGTATTGCTGTGAAGTGGCAAAGGACTGGTTTGGGTTTAAAACAGGGTGAGAAGAAGGTCTTGAATTTACAAGAAGGGAAACAGAGTTGGGTCAACCACATTGCAAGGGTAGAAGATCTTTGGTGTTCTCTGGTGAACAGCAGTGGGTATAAATTTAGGCTGCACTCGAGTTTATAATTTTTAGTTGTGGGTGTGGGCAGTGCTTGGTGTTTGCTGATGGTGACTCTGGTATGGTTCCATAAGGGGCAAGGAATGGAGGGAATTTCTGGGGTGCAATCAGGACGAATTATGGGGGTGCTGGCAGGCACAGGGAGGCAAGAGGCAGAATTTGTCCTTCCTCATCCACTCCTTGGTCCCCGTCTCACCTTCAGGATGATGGGACTTCCAGGCTTCAGCTCCAGGATCCCTGAGGGATTGAAAACCTCAAAGATAGGGTTGGGGTAGTAGGTGAAGTTGGTTTTGTTGAGGATCAGCAGGGACTGCACATTGTCAAGGATGAAGCCAAACTCCTCCGGGCGCTCAGCGAGCTCAGACTGGTGATTGGGGTCCACAGCCAGTGCTGGGGCCTGGCAGGTCATCTCTGTGCTGTTCTGCACCTCACAGTTCTGGGGAAAGAAACCCAAAACAAGGAGTTTTTATGGCAAATAGGGACCCTGGCAGGTCATCTCTGTGCTGTTCTGCACCTCACAGTTCTGGGGAAAGAAACCCAAACCAAGGAGTTTTTATGGGAAATGTCCTCATCCTTCCTGGTGGGCAGATGGTTCTCAGGGAGAGGAAGGAGCAGACCTCCATGGTTATCCTGGGACAGGCTGGTGCTCCACTGCTTCCAAACATTCCCCACTACACAATCAAGGTTGGGGAAGGATTAGGAAAGCCTGGCTGAGGTGGGTGTGTGGAGCAGTTTGCATTTCAACAGGGCCTCCTGTGGCTCTTGAGAGAACTCAGGCTCTGTTGCCAGCATCAGCATCTTTCCCCGACTTTGTTTCCCTCTGGAAACAGAGGTTTTTTCCCTTATTTTTGGCACAGCACAGATTAGTGAAAACCTCACTACCACCTTGCAATTAGGTCTCACACTCTGATTGTTTCTCCAAAAGTGTTTGTGCAGTGCATGCTCAGCTGTGCTCAGGATTCCAGTTTGGATATCAGGTTATCTGAAATGAATCCCAGCAAGCTGGAGAAGCAAAGACAAAGGTGAAGGTCTCAGAAGACCCTGAAGTTTGGTTACAGCCCTGCCAAAAACCTTCTTTTTTGTGTGTGTCCTTCAGGGATGAGAATATTTCTGGAAACAAATCATTTTGGGCTCCCTTTTTTGGGCTGCAATAGGAGATTTCAAGCTCCAGAGCTGCCAGCCAGCCCCTGTCCCCACCATGGCACGTCCCCATCCCAGCTCTGCAGTTGAACTCACATTGACGTGCTCCTTTCCACCGTGCTTTGCCCGGATCTGAGGGTTTTGGATGAGGTCCAGGTGAGTTCCCCACACGGCAATGGGAGTGTTGCCACTGGAAAATAAGAAATGGAATTAAAGAATGAACCCAGCTAATAGATGTCAGAACTCATCACACCAGGAATGGGGGATCTGTGCTCCTGAGTGCTGGTTGCAAAGTGTCTGACTGCATCTTGTGGTCCTGTAGAGAGGGAAGGAAGAACAAAACAAATAATTTTTCACTCATTCATAAATGGAGAAATAACTAAAGACAAATGCTTGCTAAAACTGCAGTGTCAGGGAGCCTCTGGGTGGTTCTCATTGTCAGGATTCAGCAATCACAAGCTTTGGGGATGAAAAGAACAGTGGAGATTTAACACAGGGTCTTTAAAATTGTCCACAGGCTGTATCTGCTATGTCCCCTCAGCCAGTCACAGAATTATAAAATATCCTGAGCTGGAATTCACAAGGATCATCCAGTCCAACTCCAACTGCAGAGACACCCCAATAATCCCACCCTGTTCATCCCTGAGGGTGTTGTCCAAACACTCCTGGAGCTCTGGCAGCCTTGGGGCTGTGACCATTCCCTGGGGAGTTGTTCCAGTGCCCAACCCAAAAAGTCCTCACGGACACAATCTCATGGAAACAGCTCTTGAGGATTCTGGGCTGAGGTCTGTAGCCCCATATCTAACCTGAATGTGACAATGTCACTTCAGTGAGCTCTTTGGTGCCACCAGGGAGCCCAGACCCACGGCAATTAGGGGAAATGGAGCCAAAGTCTTCAGCTTTGGTGTGCACCAGGCACTGGCCTGGTTTCCATGTGGTGGCCCAGCTAGATCAGGACCCAGCACGAGCAGAGATTCCCAGTCTCTGTGTCCCCTTGCTCAAAGGCCAATTTCCTGAGAAAGCCAACTCCCACAAGCCACAGCCCACAGGCATCTGGTAGATTTTCTCACTTTTATAGGAGATGAAGCTGGAGCCCTCCCCACTCCCTGCAGCCACAGTCACCACAAGGAAACAGCTCTCAGAAACACCCTTCTCTCCTTTCCCCTGCCCCTTCCAGCTGCAGCCAGCAGCTCTGGGACTTCAGGGGATGTAGGGGAAGGAGGAAGGAAACTGCAAAGGATCATTCTCAGGCTTCCCAGGGTTGGCTCTGAACACCACATTAAGGAGAAAGGCTCACCACAGGCAGCTTTGGCCATCCCAAATTAAAGCAGCTCTGATCTATCAGGGTGAGCTCTGCTGTTACAGCGTGAGGTGGAGCCAGAGTGATCCAGGAAAGGAGAAGAGTTACCCAAGAAAGTAAAACCTTCACCTGTCAGGGCTCACACAGCCAGGACAGGATGAGGAAATGTCATCAGCAGACAGCCCCGTCTCTGAGGGTCTGCCAGGGTGAGCAGTGCTCTCAGCAGTTTCAGCACCTGCCTCTATAACTCCCTTTGGAAACTGTCCAGGATGCACTTTATTTCCTGCTGGGAAGGGGAGGCCACGTGGAAATCGATGGGATTGTGAAAAGAAAGCTCAGAATCCCTTTCCTGCCTCCAGGTAAAGCTGCACATACAGGAAAGGGGAAGCACGTGCATTATAAATGAGAATACACCAGAGAATAAACAGCTTGTGAGGAAGAAGGCAACAAACCTCCCCCGTTTCTGACCTTTGTTTTCAATGTTCCTCATTTATCTTCCATTATTAATCAGCTGGGGAGGCAGGAATGGATGCAAACATCCACAGAATAGCTGTCAGGTTTGGGTGAGCTCTGCCCCAGCCCCTCCAGTGGCATCCACGTTGATGAACCAAAGAGTTTGGGTTTATCCAAAGAGAATTGGCACAACCACATCTCTCAGCAGATACTCAGGAGATACTCCTGGGACACTTCTCTGGGAGGCTTCTCATGGTCTTTCACTCAAGGACTGCTCCATGGTTAGGGCAACATTTGACCTTGAGTTTTGCAGAGTATCTCAAGTTTTTTCTCTCTGAAATCAGCTATCAGCTATGGTTGGAAATTCCTAATGGGAAATTTTACAGGGCAAACCCACATTTTGCTGTTTCCACAAGATCTGGATGAGTTTTTTTGAATGCACAAGGGGTCCTGCTGAAGTCACACATCTGTTTACAAGAGACCTTCTCTGCCTTGCAGAAAAAAATACCCTCTCCCCAAAATTCAGTTTCCCTGCAAAGATTCCTGACACCATCCAGGGAGAGCTCACTCTTCAAAACCCAGAAGTGTATAAACCAAATTATTCTTTCTCCACTATCCAGAGTCTTCTGAATTTTGGCTGTGAGCCTTAGTATTAGTAATAAAAACAATATTTTTATTGCTATTATTACATAATTCTTTAATAATTTAATCATTATTTAATTACTAATTACTAATATAATTAATCTCTGATGAGTCAAACTAGAAGGGATTTTATATCTTTACTTGGCTCAAAGTTTTACCTGTTCCACAAAAATCCAATGTGTGAACACACCTACAGGTATGTGTGTCTATATAAACACAAATCCTTTTATTTAATCAAACCAAATCCGTGCACACAGTTTTAAACCCACGTGTCAAAAATCCTCTGTTTGGGTTGGAATCTGAGCTTGCAGGCTCAGACCACAGGTAATAAACACAGCCACAGCACCTGACCAGAGAGAGGGAAAGAAAAAAGGTAAAGCAGGTTTTTGTTTGCTGAAGACTTAAAATCACCCCCAAACCGTCTCTGGCTTGAAAACAAAGTAAATAAAACTGGTTTTTGCCTTGAAAATCACCAGCCATTGGCATTTGTGGCTGCATCTGGATGGTCAGCCAGGTGGGAGCAAAGCCTAGAGACCTGCTGCTGCCTAGCAAAATAACAGAGGTGCCAAAAGCTCTCAGAATTTAACTGGTTATTGCCCCAACAGACCCTGAGTATCATTTTCTGCCTGCAGACTCAGGTAATTGCTGGATGTAACTCAAATCAAACCCAGATCAAAAGTATTAATGCAGCCTCATAACATTTTTACTTGCCAGCCCAGCGTGACTCTTTTTATTTTTTTGTGGTTTTTTGGCTATGGAAGTAAATTAGCAGTAATCTTTTCTTTATTGTCTTGAAAAACAGCCCTTGGAAAGGTTTTAAGCCAGGCTTGGTACATTCATTCACTGGTTTTGCAAAGCTGGTTTAGTGGCAATCATCTCTCATTGGGAACAGCTCAGCCTCGCAGTTACAGCACCAAAAACTGTCCCTGACACTCTGAGCTCTGGGTAATCCTGGATATTCCATCTCCTCCAGGGCTGTGCACCTTTGGAGTGGCTCAAAAGTGCTTAAGGAGGAGGGTGAAATCGGGTAGGTTTGGTTAAAATGGGGCATCTGTTAATGCTCAAGTTGATGCTCCCTGGTTTCAGATGAGGAAAGCAAAGGGGAGAGGTTGTACCCAAAAATGTTCCATCACTGGAAATGCTCAAATCATCCCCAGAAGTGTGAAAAAGCTGTGTGGATGTGTCACCTGGGGACACATTTTGTTGGTGAACATGTCAGTCAATTATCTTAGAGGTCTTTTGCAGTCTTAGTAATTCCATGAGTGGTGAGACAAGTGCAGTCCCAGCCATCCATCCTAGCAGCTACACACCCCACAAATAATCTAGTACCCTCTAAACAAGCACCTCACCCTTATTTCCATTATTCTGGGATTTGGGATGGGAGATCCCATCCATCCAGCACCTCCAGGCTGGCCAAAACTTTGCTTACACCTGAGGCATCTCCTTGGCTGCTCCTTCACCTCTGTCTGGCAGCTTCAGCAGAGAAACCAAGGAGCAAGCAGGCTGTGGAGAGCTCCTCACCTCTCAGCCACACCTGAGGCCAAGGTGGAGGAAGGTCCCTGTGCTGCAGCTTTCCAGGGGATATTCGGAAATTCACTCTCCTAGGCTGTCAATCTTGCACCTTTTAAGCAGCACTGAACTCACTCTATAAGGGAGTAAAGGGATTTCTCATTTCACTGATAACCTGGAGTCTGACTGAAAATAAAAGCCCCAAATGGAAAATCCTGACACTAAAGCTTTGAGCCCAATGTGCAAAGACTCAATCTGGCTAAACCAGTAAATTCCCTCACGGTAATTAAAGGCACTAATTGATTTGTGAAAACATCTTTGGGATAGGAGCTGAACTGGGGGGATTTACAAGCCCTGCTCCTAATCCCCAGGGACTCCAATCAGTCCAGTTTGACAGGGGAGCAGAGAGCTGCCATGGATGAATGAGAGGAGACTAAGATTTCTTATTTTGTATCTTTTCAAGGAAATACCAGAGCATTTAATGACCAATTTCTCCCTTTCTGAGCCCATTTCTCCAGGCTTCAGAGAGTTTGGGTATCACTTTGATGCCTTCCCCAATAAGGGCAAACGCTGCTCTCAGGAACCTTCATGTGAACCCTGTGAATTCACCAAAGCAGCATCAAGGGGGTGAAGAGAAAAAGGTATTCCTAACGAGGAGAAAGGCTCTTGGATAGGGCAGGGAGCAGGGCTCCTGTTGCGTTTCATCTCGAGACAGAGCCCTGGGGCTTTCAGGCACCATGGCCAAACAGGGGGTGCTTAGTCCTGAGGCATCAAGTCCATGAAGGCTGTGGGAAATGTAGGAATTTCAAGTCCATGAAGGCTGTGGGAAAGGTAGGAATTGCAGCTCACAAACTGTGGCAGAATGAAATGGTTCATGGCTTAAATGTTGCTAAAATCATGGAAAGGCTTTTGCCCACCGTAGCAAACTGCAAAGAAGCAGCTGCTCATCTGTGACCACCAAAGCCACCCCTCCCCAAATACACCTACAAACTGAATTTGGAGTGTGGAGGGAACCTGGGATAAGGTAAATGTGACACTATTGTCCAGTCCTCCCAGGTCTAGGGAGAAGAATGTGAGACTGGAGGAGACACAGGATGCTGGTGGCTCGAACACTCAGGACAAACTGCTGATGGGCAAAGCACCCACCCAGGAGCCAGGGCTGAGCACAGCCCAGCTCAGGCTGCAGCCGGTGTTGGACCAGGTGAGGAGAGAGGGGAACCCAGGGAGGTGGGAACTTTGTCTCTGTCCTTATGGAGTGAACTCAGCTGTGATAACTCCCCACCCAGGGCACATTCACACGGAGCCTGAAGGTGTTCATGCTGCTGATGGGTCATGATGGGACATAACTGACAATTTAATAGGCAGCTGTGTCTTCTGAGAAGCTGTCAAAGACTCCTGATCCTCGACTTTCCATCATCCAGCAGGAAACTGCCTGCTGGGTGTTCCCACCTGAACCTGAGGATAAACCCAACAGAGGCTGTGTTCTGGGGATTGCCTCCATCATTTCTTTGGGATGCCCCTTGCCATCTGATGGATCCAGTCTGTGACCATCACTTCAACCAACAGACATCAAAATTGCAATGACCAAGTTTTGTGGAGCCTACGAGTGGAGCAGTCTTTCTACTCTCATTCTTTCCATTTCTTTCTTATGCATTTTCTTATGTGATATATTTTGGCTTTTATATTTTCATATTGCTAGAGATAACAGCAAAAAAAATGGGGTGTAGCTGCTTTCCAAATTGTTCTAAAATAAATAAATACATACATAAACAAACAAACAAACCAACCAACCAACCATCAAACATTTATATAATATGTATATAAATATATAAATATATATTTACATAATATATATTTATATATAATATATTTATATATTATATAATTTATATATATAATTTATATACATAATTTATATATAATATATATATTTATATTTATATATTTACAAAGACTGATCATTCAGTGTCGTTTCACTCTAATCCACCCTCTAATAGAGGGATCTATTAGCTCTGGGGAACTATCTCTGCACAAATTCCTGGTGGACACAATGCTTGGAAATCAGTTTTCTACACCAAGGACCAAAGTTATCAGAGCAGTGCTCCTTTTAAAAACCATGGGAATTGTGAGAGGGTTCCCATGGGATACTCACCTGAAGATGCTCCACTCAGGCTCGATCCTCAGGATGGTGGGATCCTCTACATACTCATAGTGAAGCTCCTGGTGGATCTTGGCCTTGTCCACTCTCACGGACACCTTCACCTTCTCAAAGCCTTCATAGGAGGCCGTGGTGTTACAGACAATGTGCTTGGTGGATCTCCTGGGAGGAGGAGAAAATGAACGTGAACCAGGTGCTACCAGCAGCAAAAATGGTGAGAAAAGAGCCCAACTATTTATTCTTATGTCCTGTGTCCCAAACCTATGCACTGAAGAGGTGAAACTCAGTGTGAAACATTTATGTTCGTGTAGCAGTGTCTGGGGAAGTGGCATTACCTTTTCACTGGTTTAAATAAAACCACAAGAGCCCTCATCTCTCAGGACCCCAAGTAAAGTCTGAACCCCAAGGGCAGTCCAAACCAGGCCTCTCTCCAGAAATATTTCTCTGTGATTAAATATTTGATGGATGTTTCCTTCCTGCCTGCAGACATGTGCAGCAGCAGCTCATAAAAGGGGTGTTTGCACCTCAGCTTTGCAGTCTGGGATCATAAAGTTTACTTCGCATTAGGACTGTAATTCTTGTTTAAGTGCAGTTTGCAGCCTGCCTGGTACCTTTGGAAGTGCTAATACAGTGGGAAGCATTTTATGATTATATTTAAAGAGGATTCTGCATAAACATTTTCTTTTTGGCGGGGTCTAAAAACCAGCTCCAGGTCTGCACTACTTTCAAAATGCATCAAAAATCAAGGCACCACATATTCTCAATCTTCCCAGTCCTGTGATTCGTGATGCAGCCTCATCTCATACCCCTAAAATGGGGGTGTGAGTCACCTTCAATGACTGCACCCTCCAGGTGGCCTCTAAATTCCCTCAAAAGACAGTGCTCAATCCCTCCTAAAATTCCCCAGTCTTCAGTGAGCATCTCCAAGCAGCTGTGGCTCCCACTTGGCATTTCAAATCACAGACTGTGACTTCACCCTGCTGAATTTTGGATGCTGGATCGCTCCACAGTCATGACAGGCTGCTAAAGAGGATCCCCACAGCCAGGAGAGGGAAGGGCATTGCCCCAGGGCAGTGCTCCCAGGTCTCCTGTGAATGAGCGCTTCCTCTGCCAAGGACATATTTGGGAGAAATGTGCCAACTTCATCTTCAGCCCCCATCGCTACTGGCAGCAAAATGTGTTGCCCTGGGTAGTTTTGAGCTGTGGGAGCCTCTGGGAATGGGATTCAGCCTCATTCTCACAGGGATCAGGGAACATCCAGCAGGTAACACTGACATTAAGCCTCTCTGAAGCACCATTGAACAGGAGCCAGCACAGAGCTAAAATGTTGCAAATCATCCATTTCTTAGCGCTACAGGACTATTCTGGGATAAAAGGGAGGTGGTTTAGTGCTTCGAACTGATGTTGTCAGATTTTCTTTGTCACCTCTACTAAAGCTGGGACATGAAAATGAATCTTTTAAACGACGCACTCCCAGAGCAAGTAGCAGAGCACAGGACCGTGGAGAATCGTACTGCAATTTGACAAGAGGCCACGGGAAAAAGCACATCAAATACCAGTCAAAACAATGAAATAAATCCTATTTTCTCTCCCCAAAACATGGCCAGCAAGGCTGTGCATGGTGCAGAATGCACAAGTCCTGTTGCAGCATAGACGTGGCCACGAGCAAAGGAGGCACTTGAGGGACAAGGTGTCAGGGCTGCAGGAGAAGTTTCCTGACTTTAATTAGCATTTAATTTTTCACACCTGGGCACAAGCAGCAGGAAGGGCTCATCTGTACCTGTAGAAGAGGCAGGGCTGTCGCCCAAAGGTCACAATGACGTTGCTGCCAGCGTTGAGGTTGTTGCCTGTGATTGTCACCTGGGTGCCACCCGACACTGGTCCTCGCTTTGGCTTCAGGTCAGAGAGGGTCAGAGTCTGTGGAGACAAAGGGAGGAGTTGAAAACACAGCAGGGGAGCAGAGGGACCTTCCCTCTCCTGCTAGTGGTGGAGAGAGGGAGTCATCCCTAAGGATTAATCGGGACTTCTGAGGCTGGCCATGTCTTCTGGCTGATAAAGGAGCCTGGGGTGACATCAGTCCTGTCAGAGACCCTCTGCTCGAATGCCAGGTTTGGTGGGATGAGTTCAGACCCAACTCCAATCTGTTCTCACCCCTTCAAAATGTGATCTGCCCTTGTAGCGACTCAGAAATACTCCTGAAAAGACAGGCCCACGCCTGGAGCACCTTGGGTCCCGATCTCTCATCTCCACTGCTTGTTTGGCACAGCTCAGGGGTCTTTTTTCTGTCACTCAACATCAGCTCTGCAGGATAAATCAGGCAGTGAACTGGTTTGATTGGATCTTAATGGAGAATCTCCATTTCCAAGCTGTGCAACTCACAAAAGATGAAAATTGTTGGGTTTTGAAAAGGCCACTCAACTTCATTGATTCTCAGAATCTCAGAATGGTTTGGGTTGGAAGGGACCTTAAAGCCCATCCAGTGCCACCCCCAGCCATGGGCAGGGACACCTCCCACTACCACAGGTTTCTCCTGGGAGCTTGTCCAACCTGGCACTGGACACTTCCAGGGATGAGGCACAGCTTCTTTGGCCTCATGACCCTCACAGGGAACAATTCCTTCCCAATATTCCATCTAACCCTGCCCTCTGGCAGCGGGAAGCCATTGCCCCTTGGATGGAGGAGAGCTGTGGCTCAGCAGAACATCTGAGTTTGTTCTTGCCTCTCCCACATAGGATCCCAGAATCACTGGGGTGGGGAAAGACCTCCAAGATCATCTAGTCCAACCTGTGACTGATCCCCACCTTGACAACCAGAACAGAGCACATCCAGTTGTTCTTTGAACACCTCTAGGGATGGGACTCCATCTCCTCCTGGTGCAATTCCAATGTTCAACAACCCTTTCCATGAAGAAATTCCTGCTGATGTCCAACCTGAACCTGCCCTGGTGCAAAATGACCACACATGACCCTAAAATCTTTCTCTTATCTGACTTGGATGTTGAGAAAGCCTCGAGCTGTCCTGCCCTGACACATGGTGGTGGTGCTCCTGTCAGGGTGTCCTGTGAAATGCCACAGCCACAAAAGCAGCACTACCCATTCAAACACCTTTTCCCTTTTCCTGCTGATTTTCTGAGCCTCTTTTCCCAGCCTAACAGAGCACTGTGTTAATATATCAAAAAAGGGCACAATTCTTTTAGAGGCCCCAAATCTCAAACCTCTTTTTCTTACCCTGCTATCCTCCCTTCTTCCCCAAATCAAGATAAAATACTCACACTCTGAAGGCACAGATCACCCTGTTACCACAATGCAGAGAAGAGACATCAATATTCAGGGAGAAATTTGGAGTTACAGTTTATTCTTTCATTTGCATTTTAATAGAAAAACTTTCCATTCAGTCCCAAGTGAAAAGCTACTATATGCATTTAAATGAAGATTATTTCTTTCCCCCTCTCTTTAAGAATGATGACACAAGTGCTTGAAGCTCTCAGCTCCTCTGAGCGAGCAGGTACATCACGCAGTCACCTTATTGAGCTTTGGAGACCATTAATCCATGTTTATAAAACCACCTGACACACACCACAGCTCCTACTCTCTCACACTCAGAGCCACCTCTGTTCCCAGGCCCCTCTGGTTTAATCATTTTGAAAAACAGCGGCAAGATTTCCATTTTTCCATTTTGCTCCTATTCAAAATGCAGCTCTTGGAGGAAGGGCAGAACATGAAAATCAGACTTACAGCTCTGTAGAAGGATCTGCTGTCAGAGCTGGGCACTTCTTGTGTTTCAACCTGACTGGTTTTCACCTGATGGTTTGGAAGCTGGTTTTTTACTTAGAATCATGGAATTTTTGAGGGTGGAAAAGACCCCTTAGATCAGCAAACCCAAGCATCAACCCAGCACTGCCAAAGCCACCACTGAAGCACCTCTCTAAGCACCTTGAACACTTCCAGGGGCAATGATTCCACTGTTTCCTTGGGCAGCCTGTGCCAGTGCTTGGCAACATTTTCATCAAGGAATTTTCCCAATGTCCACCCTGAGGCTCTCCTGGCCCAGCTTGAGGCCATTCCCTCTCCTCCTGTCCCTGTTCCTGGGAGCAGAGCCCGACCCCCACGGTTGTCCCCTCCTGGCAGGGAGTTGTGCAGAGCCACAAGGTCCTCCCTGAGCCTCCTTTTTTCCAGGCTGAGCCCCTTTCCAGCTCTCTCAGCCTCTCCTGGGGCTCCAGACCCTTCTCCAGCTGTGTTCCCTTCCCTGAGGAGTTCAAAACTGGATCCAGGATTTGAGATGGGGCCTCAGCAGTGCCCAGCTCTGGGGTGGGCACTGCCCTGGTCCTGCTGGCCACACTATTCCTGATACAATCCAGGTGCCATTGGCTTCTTGACTGTCAACCAGATCCTTTTCCACTGGGCAGCATTCCAGCCATTCTCCAAGCCTGGAGAGTGATTTTCTGGGAATATTCTCTACCATTCTTTTTCAATGGGTTAAAAACCACAGGAAGAGTATGAAAATCCAAAGCATGCACTTCAGTACTGCTCCTTTATATTTTGGGTACCACCTCAAGCTCTGATGGCAACTCCCTTATTAAAGGACACCCTCACCAGTAAAAATTCCTGCTGACCATGATGGCTGATGCTGGGAGGTGACCTCCCACCTGGGAGAAAATGGGTTTGGAATGGCCAGCCTGGGGCCCAAAGCCTACACAGCAGCACTGCAGCAGTATCTGATTCAAAAATCATAGAGGAACATTTGAGTTAAAGACCCAAAAGATCTTTGTCCCACCCCTGGGTGGGTTCCCTGCCCTCTCCCTGGGGTGAATAAAGCAGCCATGGCCTTTTGAGCATCCTCACAGGCCACAGCCACACCAGGAATGCTCCTTGACAGAGCTCTGCTGTGTCTGGAGCTGATCTCACAAATGGGTTTGTGGCTCAGCTTTCAAAGTTGTGATCAACCTTTAATTATTCACAGTGGCCTCCGTGAACACTGCCCAGCACATCCACAGCAGAACTCCAGACTATTCACCATGTCCTCGCTGCTGGAAGGCGCTGGAAAATTCCAAGAGAGTCTTGTGGATTGGTGAGAAGCTGGAAAGTGACAATGAGGGAAAGAGAACAGGAAATTTTGTGCATTTTATGGGATTTTACCTACTTTCCTAAGCTCCCCAACCCTTTCTTTCCTATCCAGCATCTCCTGCACACAGGTTTTCCACGGAGAAGCACCATCAGAGCTGGGCCTAAACTGCCCCCCATGGAGCTTGTCAAGACCTTGGTTCCCATTCCATTCCTCCTAGGAATGCAGGAAGAGCAAGATGTGACTCAAGCACAGCTTGGGCACCTGGGTTTCCTTTCTAGAGGTTCCACAGTAACAGCAAGAGGGGAGAAGATGAAAGGGATGGATAGGAAATGGTCTCCAAAATAACAAGGATCTTAGGAGCAGACTTAGAAGAAATGTAGAGTAGTCGACAGCACCTGCACTGAGACACGATATTTTCACCTAAAGCCAGAATAAAGGTAAATTTTCTTCAGTACCCGAATTGAGAAGAACATGTAATATGTTTTTCATTGCAGGACTGGGGCAATAATCACAGCAAGAAAATGAATAACTGTAAAAAAATATATTTCATTTAGATCATCATAAATTTCATTTCAGCTTTGTTTCCCTCTTGGCTTATTGTACTTTCTAATGCAATTTGCAGGTTTTGATCACAGATGAGTTTAAAACAAATGAGCAGCTATTTGAATTTAAAAGTTTTGGTTAGAAAGGTGGAGAAGAACCATTCTGGCATCTCTAAACTAAGACACTTCTTTCTTAAAACTAAGAAATTATTAATTTATTATTATTATTTATTATTATTTATTATTTAATTTTAAGAAATTAAATACTCTATTGAGTCCAAACCATCATCTCTTTGAATTCTTGCAAGACAGGGAAAGGCTGAACCAATTGGCCAACTTTGACCAAGTTTTCCTTCAAACCTCTCAAAAATCAATTTTCCAGGAAATTTGCCATGAGTCAGAAAGTGACATTTATCTCCCAGGTGATGCTTTTCCTTGGTTTTCAAACATCTTCTTTCCCTTCAAGCTGCCACGCACCGCTGCAGGATGCCAAGGCACGTCGAGACTCCTGCAATAGCATCTCTGCCCTCCTGGCAGAAAAATCCGAGGAAGCCAAAAAAACACAGCTCCCACTGTGAAAGCACCAGACACGGGAGAGGGAATATGATGGGCAGGCTGGAGAGTTTCTGTAGTTTTGGGGGGAGTTTTTTGTCTAGCACAAAGGTATCGAGGTATTCAGCAGAGAAAACCCTGGTGGCTTCGTGCTCGTGCCCTGGCAGCTGGGAAGGCGGCAAGCAGAGGGAAAAGCTGTCACAGATGGACACGGATGATCAAAACCAGACAGTAATTCCAAGAGTAGCAAAGGTGACACGTTGAAGTGTAATGTCCTGGAAAGAGCCCTTCTGGCTGCCTGGTAGGGGCTTTCTCTCAAGGTGTTTCTCTGCCCCCGCCGCCGCAACACCTGAGTGACATCGGAAAATGCAGAGAACAGAGAAACTTGTGTAGCTCGAGGGGGGAATCCAAGACATTTGCATTCATTACAAGTTCCCTTTACCATAAAGAAATGCTCAGGCATGTGAATAATTTCAGAGGAGACCCATTCTCTTGCAGGAGTTGAGAGCTTTTGATGGGAACAAAGGGACCCTCTCATCTCAAACCTGCACAGATCTGAACAGATCAAGGCCAGACAATGCTTGCATGTCCCCAGCAAGGGGTCTTAGAGGAATAATCAGATCTCCTGGACCTGGAACATCATCAGAAGGGAGGAAAAAAGCACCGGCTGAGTGTACAACATGTGTTTGCACTTGAACTGAAGCTGAAGCACGCAGGTGTCTCTCGTTTCATCATGGAGCATCCAAAACAGCTGCCCACCAGCACTGAGCCCCAGACACATCCTACAGCTCACCAGCAGCCTGAGGTGGATCTGTGCTGACCCCAGTGCTCCTGGTGTGGATGGGATGAATAAACACCTGGGGCAATCCAAGAGGGAGAAGAAAGAAACCAAATTGAGACCATCACACTCATTCTCTGAAGATCCAGGGGTTGTTAGGAGTAGTGGCAGCCCCCAAGTTTCTTCTGGAGGAACCTGGTGGCTCCAGCCAGAGGGGTGTTGGTAGTAGGAGTATCACACTCAAAAAAAAATAAGATACTAGGAAATTTTTCCCTTTTCTAGATCTTTTTTCTTTTCTTTCCTGTTCAGCACTTTTAACTATTAATGAGAATTTTCTGTATTAATTTGGACCACGGCTGCATGGAACTATAACTGGACTAATAATCTGGACTATTATTAGGTTGTTAAAACTTTAATTAGACTAGCTATTTTTGCTGGGAACAAGATGTTAAAAGGAAATGGAATGAACAATTTGGTGCACCCAGAACGGCAGCGAAGAGCTCAGAGGCTCAACATGGTGATGGACAATGGACAGAGGGAGCAAAGAGGATCAAGACCAAGGATTTCAGGGCCACAGAGAACTTTTTTCAGGAACTTACCATGAAGTAGTAGAGCTGAGAAGACCTGGCCATGAACTCTGGCTTGCACTCGGCCACGCAGATTTCCACAAATCCGGCGTGCTGGCTGGGCTTGGCCTCCCCCATCTCACACACGATCCTGAGGGGAAAATATCAACCAGGAGCAGAGTTTGAGGGATCGTTTGGTGGTGCTGGTAAGGTGGAATTGGAGCAAAGAGCCCACAGTGCTGGGGAATGGACTGTAAATTAACCCACCCTCTTCTGTCCCATCCAGAATCCAAGTTGTGGATTAAGTTATTCTTTAGAAAGTGATGGATTCTGGTGGGGGCAAGTGTAAATCTACCTAAATACACACAGAAATGTTGGGCTGAGATCTGGCTCTATCTAGCCTGGCATGGTGGAGGCAGCTTTAAGGTTTAATGATCACTCCTGCATTCAGCAGGAGGTTTTTCAGGATTTCTGCCTTCCAAACTGGAATTGAACACCTTGAGGTGACTGCTTGGTGAAAACTGGGATAACTGCAGGGCGTTTACCGTGAGGATCACTTAAATATGCAATCCAAACAGTAATAACGGGATTATTAAATAAATGGATTATCCTGAGCTGTACATGAGGAATGGCCTTTTCCATCCCTCAATTCCCAGGTTGGAATGGAGTCCTTGGAAGGTCCTGCAGGTAGGAATGGCATTAGGTGGCTTTGCTCTGCCACACACCCACTTACTGCTCTGCTGGGATGTACCCTTCTACCAGCGGCTTGCACTCCACACCGGCCACTTTGACGTGGGATGCGATATCCCGGAATTCCAGGCCCAGGTTCTCCCCACGGATGGTCACTTTGGTCCCGCCCTCGCGGGGACCCGTCACGGGGTTGATCTGGGGAAAAAAGCCAAGAGAGAGGGGAACAATCAAACCAGGCAACAAAATCCTCTCAGGTGAAAGAACAGACAACTTTTGGGGATCACCAGGGGTACTTGTAAATGCTGAACAGGTGAGGGAACAAACCTACTTCAGATACTCAGAATATGCAAAATTCTGCATCATACCTCATTTACTCTCTTTTAACTACTTGCAAACCATCCAGAGGTGAGTAGGAGATTTTTTTTTTCCTAGGCAGGAGCAGGGATTTGTGGAATTGCAGCTGAGCTCTGCACTTTGTAGACATGAGCCATGGAAAGGCAGGAGAGGGACACGGTGGAGAGAAATGTGAGAAAGAAAAAGAGAAGGACATAAGCGGTTGAGCCAGTCACTTGAAATCCTAAATTCTCAGCCCAAAGCTCGTGGGGGTTTTTCTCTGTTCTGGAGGTAGGTAATGGTCATGCATCAGAAATTCAGCTGAAAATGTCCATCTGGAGTAAAACAGGCCAAGCCACAGCAGGAGCAGGGTGTTGGGTTAGGTGTGGAGGAGGTGGATGGTGATTGAGACAGCAGCAGCAGCTGCTCTGTGCCAGCACCACTCCCTGAAAGAGCTCCAGTTTCCATCCTGGGAGAGCTGTTGGAAGAGCAGGCAGGAAGCATGGACAGATCATTTGTGGAGCCTCTGAATCTCAGCATGAGATAAGCGACCATCCCAACCTGGAGGCTGCTGGAATGGCGATTGCATCCTGGCCTGGCCCTGCACCAGACCCTCACAGGGTCTGGTCTCCACCATCCTTGTCCAGAGCCAGGTGGGAATCAGCACTGGAACTGTCTCCTGAGCATTGAAACAACACTGGAATCACCTTTAATTATTTCCATTCTCTGCCAGGTGGGAATCTGGGGCTGGCAGTGATGCCCTGCAGTAGAAGTTGGGCTGGCAGGGAAAGGCGAGGCACTGGTGTGAGCAGAGCTGCTCCCAAGCACTTCCCAGCCCCGAGCCTGGCACCAGGGTTGGTGTAATTCCCACACAAAGGGTGATTTTTAGAAGGCACATCTTTAGTAAAAGGAGGAAGAGCCAGGCACCTCTAGGGGATATTTAATTTTAGGATATTAACTTTAGGATATTAATTGTAGGTGTTGCGAACCAAGTCCTCAGTGAGTGTGACTCATCTCTGACTCTACAGGGAACCAGGAGGTATTTGTGGTGGTTTTCCAGGGAAGTTAAAAAGAAAGGGAAAGAGGAAAGGGAAAGCTGTCTGAAGCACAAGATTTCAAAAAATTTTTGCTGTGACTCAAAAAACATCAACAGGAAATTTCCTACACCAAAGCCAACACAGCACCGCTAAATCCTTCCCTAGGCAATATTTAATTTGTAAAGACCAGCTTCAAAACCCACTTACTTCCTTAAATCAGGAGGGCCTGGGATTCTCCCAGGTTCACATGGAAGATTTTTTAAATCCCATTTCATAGCTCTGCCATAGATTCAACCAAGAGGAAGGTGTTACCAGGTTGTTTTCACAACAGGAGAGGAGAAGCCTGTTCTATCACAGGTGAAAAATGTGGCACAAGACCTGTCAGTTTTGGAGAGAAAAATCCAGGCAGGGAAACAAAAGCTGCCAGGAAGCCTCAGCTTCCTCTGGAAGACCCAGAGCTGCATCCCAGTTTCCAGTCTCTGCTCATATCAAGTGCTGCTTGTTGCTCCTAAAGGAGTTTTTTGTGGCTCAGTGAGTCTCTAAGTCCTTTAATTTCCCTGAGTGGCTCTGTAAATGCCAGAGCTGGTACAGAAATGGGGAGATGGGTGCTGGAGGGGGTGTGAGTGGCCCTACAAGTGTGAATACACGTGTTGTTCCTCCTCTTCCCTGCAGAGACCCAGCCCTGGCTCCTCTCCAGGCTCTGGATGCTCCTGCCCCACAGCTCCAGACCTGCCATTAGCTGCAATATATATCCAGTCACTTGAGATTACTTCCATGCTAATGGCTCAGAAAAAGGCCTTCCAAGAGCTACTTAGGATTGCAGCAGGCAGCTGGAATATTTCATGAGCGAGTGTTGCAATGATCTGTTGGAGCTTGGAGAGTTGTTGGAGGAAATGCCAGCAGAATCTGAAGCACTGCCCCTCTGGACCTGTAGGGTGGAGAATGGGTTTGTTTTTCAAAAAGAGCCTGGAGATGAAGGATTAGGGTTAAAATATGGCAGGGAAATGTGAGTGGACCTTCAGAACCTCTGCACACCCAGGTCCTTGTGCTTTAGATTTCTGCTTTAGCTGATCATCCATCAGCTGCCCCATACCAAATTCTATCATTGTTTTACAATGTCTGAGAATCTGAAAATATTTTTTAAATGTTTCCCCCAGCTCCAAGCAATTTTCAAGGCATCAAAGTTGAATTTTCAGGTGTAACTGTCCTTTCTGGCTGTCTGGGTTTGGTTTCACAGCTTCAGGTGGTTCAGGTGGGGTCAGAATTACCAGTCTCAGGTAAATCCAAGTAGAGACCTTCAGCTTGGAAACACCAGAATAAGCCATAAACATCAGAATAAACTGAACTCCAACAGTTCAACTGAGAGAGAGCTTTGAAAGCTGGTGAATGACAGGGAGATGGATCAAAACACAGGGAAAGGGTTTATTTTCAGTAACATCTGGGAAAAGCAGATTCAACCTAGCCTTTGCTCCCCCAAAATGTTCAAGCAGAGATAGCAGTTTAGGGCTCTTCCATGACACCCACAGTTTTTGAATCTGAATCAAAAACAACTTAAAAAAGCCTTTCTTGCCTTCTAGGAAAATAACCCACCTAATTATTCCTATTAAACCACCACTGTGCAGGCTGGATTTTCCTCTGTTGCAGTTCCCCATATTTTCCCTGTTTCATTTCTCTCTTGACTTTTCCCATTGGTAAATCAGGCCCTGGCCACACTGAAAGGTGCTCATGTTGAGTAAGGCCTGTGCTCAAGGCAGGAGGCAGCTGGAAGGGTTGGAGCCCTCATTTTGGAGGCTCAGGTCTGTCCTGCTGCCTTTCCTGTGACCCTGAAAATGTGCCTGGCATTGTGGCAAAGGCATCCTAAGACAGCAGACAAAAATCCCTTTAGATTTCAGGCCTGACTTGCCTCCCCTGCCTTCTCTCCCTTCTTCTTCTGCTCCTTGTCTTTATGGTTTTCCCATTCTCTGATTTCCTTTTTGAACCTTTCCTCCAGCTTTTCCTTTGGCCCAGCCACCACAATCAATAGGGAACTTCCTGAAGAACAGTGTTATTCCTCAGGCCCTTCTCCCAGCCCTGTCCTCATTCTCCTTATCTCAACAGGGCAGTTCTCAACTTTTCCTACTCCAGGCTTGCTTCTGCCTCCTCCCTGAGCCTTCCAAGGGGACACCTGACAACTCTACAGGGCTTTATTTGCTCTGTGAAGACTTTTTTGACCTCTCAACATCAGCCAGGGGCAGGACAAACAAAAGGGTTTAATCTGCTGGAGTCAGTGGAGGTTTTTTTCTTTTCTGGACATGGCTTTCTCTGTGTCATGTTGCCAAAAAACATAAATTGCACCTCCCCTCTTGCTTGACCTCCTGTCAGCAAAGCTCCAACCTCTCTGGGATCACTCAACACCTCCTTCTCAGCCAGGCTGACCAGAGAGGCTGCTCCAAGAGGCATTTGGGCTCCTTTGATTTACCCTCACACCGGCCATTGGAGATCTTGTCTCACCTTCAGATGTCTCTAGAAGGCCAAGGTCTCCTGAGGGATTGATGCCACATCTGCCAGCCCTTTTTGGGCAGTTCAGGTGCTCTGGGGCTCCTCAGGTTGCACCAGCACCCTGTGTTTGGGGGTTATGGTGGGAATTCTGACGCCCTCGGGTGTTAACCCAAGGTCACCCCTGAGCTGTGGACACGTGTTCCTGCCTTTCAAGCCACCGTGATCTCACATCCCCCAAGTGCCTGAGGCTTTTCCTGGCCCAGCAGAGCTCAACCCTGACCTTCCCATCACCAACCCAACCCCAAATCAGGAAAACAACCCAAGGAAAGGGAATCCCCCAGCTTCCTGCGGATCCAACACTTACATCCGTGATCTTGGGGTTGGTGCACTTGCCCTTGGTGCTGGACAGCTCCAGCCACTGGCTGTCCTGGGCTGGGCAGTGCTGCTTCAGCGTGCACTGGTTCTGTCCCTGGCACCAGCCACACTCGAAGTCGGGGTCGGCTTTCAGGCAGAGTCCGCAGCTGTCCCGCATGGCCCCGCACTTGTACAGGTGAACTGCAGGGACAGCAAAAACACAGGAGCTGAGAGAGGCAGACAGCACAGGAGAGTGGGGTGGCAGTGGGAGCAAGAGGGGAAAGTGTTCTGGGCTGCTCATGCCAGAGGCAGGATGGAAACCCTCCAGGGGGGTGAGTAATGGTGGGGGAGGAAATGTGGATGTCCTTCTTGAACTAAAGTTCATTTCTTAGTTCGTTCTTCATCAAAGGTGTTTGTGGAAGCTGAGAGCAGAAGGGAGGATGTTGCTCTTAGTATGTTGAGAGGAGGTTGGAGAAAATGGTGCTTGGGCAGTGATTTGGCCACAGTCCCTTCCCTTTTCACAGACTGAATGTGTCACCAACAACCAACCTCAGACTCAGCACTTCATCCTAAAAGAATTTTCTAGACCTGGCCAACCCACAGCTTAAATCTGGGTGTGAAACTCCCCAGAATTTTGTATTAAGGTGATGCCACTCAGGTTTCCCACTTGACAGAAATCCCAAAAGATAACAGTAAATGGTTCATTATGAGGCTGATTCCAGGGATTCACAAACAGCCTTTACCCCTTCTTCTGCTCCAGAAATTCAGTCTGCTTCCCACTTTGAAGCAGAGTTGATTCCACTCTAATACAGACAGCAGTGATTAATGCTTAGCTCCATTTTGGGCTGTTAAGTGATTAGAAGCACTCAGAGCTTTTTCTAATAAAGCCTAAAAATATTGAAGTCCTCCTACGAAATGAGATCATGTTATTTATCCTTGTTTTACGATGCAGACACTGAGGCCTGGCTTGCGCAGGGGACTGATAGCAGAATTCTCCTCCTGGAAGATGAAGGTGGCAGAATTAAGGCTCTCAGACTTTTTTTTTTCCCTTCATTTGTGGGCATGTTGGGAGATTTTTCCTCTGTGCTTCTGTTTTTCTGTGTCCATAGGTGACTAAAGTGATTTTTATCTTTATACACAATCCCAGAGCTCAGAGGCTTTGGAAATATTTGTGCTGAAAGCTCTGTCTCTCCATACCTTCCCCCGAGAAGTCAGCAAGTATTGGCCAAATGCAAGAAAAACTCAGAAACTCTTTATTTCTCCAGGGTGGGTGCAAGAAAAGTACCCAAAAGCACCCCAAAAAGCCTGCAAAACATCTGTCAAGCACAGGTTTTTTTCCAGACCTTGTGGGATACACCTATTTCCTTAGTTTTCTGTTGGATATCCTTAAATTTGCTGAGTTGTTCTGCTTAAGATGCTACCAGTGGGTACCTCTGTAGATAATTCAGCAGGTTTGGGTCAGTTTAGCATTTCAGCCTCCCAGTCCAGCCCGTGGTGATGCTGGATGTGAAAGCAGTGGCGTTTTGGTCACCTCATGAGAGTGTGGTATTGCTTCCACGTGGTATCTCTATGGGAACATGCCCAAACTCTCCTCCTGACCAAAAACATGATGATAATATCCAAATTACTCATCTGGGACAGCCACCAGCCAGTGCTGCAGATTTTTTTCCATTATTTTTCCATTATTTCCTTTTTTTTTCCATTATTTTCATTCATTATTTGCAACATTTTGGCTTGGAATAACCCAAGATTATTGCGTGCTACAGATGATTCTTGAGTTCATCCCCTGGTCTGTTTTATGTTACTGGCACAAACAGTCTGAAAATATGATCATATTTTATCACTTTTGTTTAATCAAATATTAATTTAATTTTATTAATTTTGCTCCCACATCACCTAGGATAGCTCAGTGTGGCCCAATAAAAGGATTTACACTTTTGGTGTGGACCATGTTGTGCCAGGGGTGCTCATTTTATGGTAGCGCAAAACTAAGCAGGACAGGGGCAAGTGTCCAAATTCTGACCTCCAACCCACACTGTTAAAGGTTCTCACAGCCCCTGGCACTGTTTGGGCCCATGGAAATCAGCAGTGTCCTGGAAACACCGTGGCACAGCTTGGAGAAAAGGAGACAGCTTCAGAGTAGAGGCAGGGTGGCAGTTTCAGCACAGGCCGTGCCTGAGTGCCAGGGCTGGGCAGGAACCTCCAGCCTGTTGTGTTTGCTGAGTGGATTTAACCCTCAAAAGACAGAGTTTGGGGATTTTGGTGCCAGAACTCTGCCATTCGGAGGGGGAGAAGGGCAGATGGGGGTTGTGCCATGGGGAGAAGAGTTGCCCTGTGCTGCTCCCCAGGTTCAACGTGGTGTTGGTGGGAACCTCAGCCTCGGTGTGGAACGGTGTGACAGCGCTGTGGGAATACCTGATGGGGACAGATGGAGTGGGAGAAGGTGCAGGAAGTGTCCACGACAAGGCAAAGAGAGGGAGAGGGAGACATTTCTGAGAGGTGATGATGTGAGAAGAAGAGAATCTGCAGGTGTCAGCTGCAAATTCGGGGCAGCCAAGCGGAGGGGTTGCCTGGGGGGAAGGTTCCAGGGTGGAAAGACAAGAAGGAAGAAGAAGATGTGAACTGACCATCCATCTCCAGGAACACCCAGCCTGCCTCAGGGTCGTGGCTGGATGTGCAGCCCCCTCTGTGAGGGACACATCAAACCTGTGCCATCGGTGGTGGTTAAACACAGATGGTTTTCAGATCCTTTTTATCATTATCATTTTATTTTGCTCAGAATTCTCCCACTGGAGAGCCACAGCCTTTCTGCTCCCCCTCTGCCTTCCCCTGCTCATTACTAAATTGCCTCTGAGCAGAGAGCCCGCTCTCCTGGCATGTTAACTTGAAGAGCATCACTGCAGGAGAAATAAAGAGGGGGAGACAAAGCTGAAGAAGGAAGGGCGTGAAAACCAGACACGAGGATGTGGGGAGAAGCGGGAGGGAGAGCAACACAAGTGGGAGGGAGAGTCGCATTTCTCAGGTGGAATTAGAGAATTGGAGGGCTGGGGGGAGGCATACAAAGCACTCAAAAATTGGTAATTTGCAGAGTGCAGAGAACAAGTGTGCAGCAGCCAGCACGGGGAGACGGTGGCGGCTTTGTTAAGTGTAGGGAGCGAGGGCCCGTTGCTAAGGTTACCGCTTCCAAGGACAAGTTGAAATAACTCTTTACCTTTGTTCTGTGCCGGGTTGTCAATGTTGAAATTCCCGTTCCACACGACTGTCAGCTCCACTGGCAGGCTGTTGATCTCCATCCCTTCGTACGAGTACTAGAAATGGGAGAGGAAAAACAAAACAAACAAAAAAAAAAGCCCCAAACCCAGAGTTAGAAAGTGCTTGGAGGTGGGGAGGGGATGGGATGAGGCAAGAGGGGGTGCAGAACATGGAGAGCAAGAGAAATGGAGCTGTCACCTCCCCAGTCAGCAGCACCTGCCAGAATGCCACAGGATGCTCCCAAAGCTGTGGATCTCCAACCATGCCCCTCACAAAAGCCCATTATTAGGTGAATATTTGTAGAATCCCAGAAAGAGGATGGAAGGGAGCTTAAAGATCATCCAATGCCACCTCCTGCCATGCAGGGACACCTTCCACTACCCCAGGCTGCTCCAAGACCCATCCAGCCTGGCCTTGGACATTTTCAGGGATACAGGGGCAGCCCCAGCTCCTCTGGGCAACCAGAGTTTCACAGCCAAAATATCTGATCTGAACCTTTCTTCAACTTAAAGCCACTCCCTCTTCTATCACTTAGAAAAATCCATGATGTAAGAGCATTTGCATGTGATGGGCCTTAACTTTGAAATCCATTTTTTGGGTGTTGAGCACAGCTTTGAAATGTATTTTTCCAAGTTGGGTGCAACTTTAAGGTGTAAATTACATATTCTGGGTCTTCCACCCAGCTGTGCCTCTGCTGTGTATTCCAAAGGTGCTGAGTGTGTAGGTAAGGTTGTTCACTCTAGGAATGTCTTGAAGAACTCTTGGAAGCTGAGTGAGGTCTCAAAATCAGGGAAACCCCTTGAAAAAGGGGAAAATGGAGCCAGTGTGTAATTATAGACCTGTCAGCCTAACTTGGCTTCCCAGAAAGAAAGTACATCAAATTATTAAACAATCAATTTATAAGCACCTCCGAGATGATAAGGTGATAAAAATCAGCCAGCACAGATTTGTCAAGAACAAATTGTGTCAACCCAATCTAATTTCCTTTTTGACAGGCTTAATGGCTTTGTGGATAAAGGGGAGGCAGCAGATGTGATTTATCCTGATTTCAGGAAAGTATTTGCTACTATCCTACAGCAGATCACCATAAACAAACCAGGGAAATATGACCTAAGAAAGGCCACCATAAGGTTTATGCAAAATCCATTAAACAAAAACAAAATCAGATAATTCCATGTCAGGCTGGGAGGGTGTTTCAAAAGGAATATTGTCCTGAGTCTGGCATTACTCAGTATTTTCACTACTGACTTGGATGATTTCATGACACTGTCCTGGAGGGGGTTTAAGAACCTCCAACAGCAGGGTTAAGAATTTAAAACAAACTTGACAAATTGTAGAACTGGGCCAAAATCAACCAAATGAAATTCAATGCTGGCAAATGGGGACTATTTTTCAGTAGGAGGAATTGATGCAAACAACTCTGAAACTGGAGTGGCTGGGCAGTGCTGCAGGAGAGGGCCTGGGGACTGCTGGAGATCATGAACAGACTGTAAATCAACAATGCCATATTGCTGCCAAAACCCAAACAATTCTCGTTTGGGGATGGAGCAGATAGAGTTTGTTACATGTGTAAACCCCAGGAGGAAATCACTTTTCCCTACTCAGAACCAGAAAAATCTCAGCTGGAGCAAGGAGCATTCAGTTTCCAGCAAATATGTCTTAAAAAGCTGCAAGAAACTTCTGAGAGAGCTGGAGAGATTTAAACCAACACTTGTCAGGGGCACTCAAGGCACACAGAGGTGACCCCAACGAAGGAAATGGAAGCTGCTCTCTGGAGGCCCTCTCCACGTGGTGCTGAGAGCTTTTTTTCCACCTAGATTTTGATTTATCTCAAGCCAGTTCACCCAGGGCTCACCCTGCTGCCCACCTCCATCAGCAGCTTCCACCCAACACCTCACCAAAAGAGCCTCAGGGTGGGAGAGGAGATGGTTGATTAAAGGACAGAAGGGAGCAAGAAAGGAGGGGAGAAGCATCTTGTGTCTGCTTCTATTGCTGGGCACAGTGCACATCAGGATTTACCCTGCTAAGAGCAGGGATCTCCCACTGCACTGGGGTCTACAGCGGGACAAAGTCCCACTTTGAAAGGAAAATATTTTCCCCACTGCAAACCAGCAAGCTGGTTTGGCTGGGCCAAAAAATGTCACTAAAGAGTCCCCCATCCCTTAAAGCCCCTTTGTGGTTACCCACAGAGAGGCCAGAGCTCTGAGCTTCACAGGTGGGGTTTCCTCTATCCATTAATTGCTGTATAATTGCAGAGTAAATGGTAACTGGTGATTTCTGTCCATTACAGCAGAGTGGGAGCTGCTTGCACAGTGATTCCTCTTTGCACAGACTAAACACAATTAGCCATTAATCTGCAAACCCTGTGATTATGATCCAGTTGTAGGGAATTTATGGGTATTTGTGGTTTCCATAGAGGTAAAGAGCAGCCTAGGTGAGCCAGGTCCTTTGCAGCAGACCCGCCAGTCTCATTCAGGATTTGCATTTTTGTGACACTTCTGGGTGTCACTGCCAGCAAGATTCAAGAAGAGCTTGACTGGACTCACACCACTGGCTGTTCCCAGCTCTGAAGAGCTGGGAGCGAGGATGGGGAGTCAGGAGTGGGAAGGAGAATGCCTGAAGAGTGGTGAATAATTAAACTTCTGCCACTCAGGAGCACCTGCTTTGCACAGGACTTTGAAAATGCTGATTGGGAATGGAAAATGGGATATATATGGAATAACTGGTCATCCTAAAGTCAGAAGATGAATCTTAGAAAGGGCCTCTCCAGAGCCTTGTGTGTGTTTTGGGATTTAGCTGGAAGCAAAGCCTAGGCAGGGCTGCAGGGACAGGCATCTGGAATCTCCTGGAGCCTTTCTTCCCATGGGAGATCCCAGCATCAGATGCAGGAGCTCAGCTGGGATTTTAGATCTTATCTGTCTGCAGCACCAGGGGCAAAGACATATTAGACTTTTTAACCCAGCAGGCTTGATCCAGACCTGGAAAGGGATGTGAGGGGATAAATCCCAGGGAAGGGCTCCAAGGATGAAGCCAGCTGGGATGAGGAGGCTCACACTGCCCGTGCCTGACCCATCCCGTGCTGCGTGGACTGCACGGCAGCAAAGCAGAGCAACCTGCAAAGGAACGGTGAGGAAATGCTCCGTCCTCCTCAGACCACAGGAGCTGCTCACTCATTGTGACCCCTCTTCAAAGCCCACTGAACTCAAGAGGAGCCTTTGAAAAGGACTCGCTCAGCCGTGACAATAAGATGGAAATGTGTTTCAGGGGAGAAAAAAGGCCAGGAGCATCGATCTCTGGGAGAGCAGAGCTTCCCGGACACTCCTGAGAGGTGTTCATACCATCAGGGCTTGTCTCTCCCCCTTCCCTTCCACAACTGCCTCCAACATGGGCAAAACATCCCAGAAGGTGTAACTCTGACCCTTAAGTCTGACCAAACTGGATTTTAATCACAATCATCTCATCAAAGCAGAAAATTATGGGCAATTTGGGGACCCAGCTGAGAAGGAAAGGCTGTGCTCCCTGGAACACAGACTGGCTCTCCTCAGGAAATGCCAAAAAAAAGCTGCTAGAAGGAGCTGTTGTAATTCACAGGAGCAATGTTTGGAACTCACAAATATCCTTTTTTTTTGCCTTTCAAACTCTCCAGTAGTATCAGATACTCCCACAGTCTGTGCAAATCCAAATCCATGCCTGACCACTTGCAGCATCCTGCCCTTTGCTGATTTGGCTTGAGCACGCTTAGGATGATAAATCCAGAGGGGTTTCATGGTATTTTCCCTTAGTACCTCCAATAGTGGGGAGACTTCTGCAGAATTTTAGCAGAATTTTAGTGTTGGTCTGATTTCTCTGACACCACTTTTGTGATTAGAGCTCAAATCCAGGGATTGATTCCTGTACTTGGCTCTTCCATCAACGCCTTGCACCATCCTGTGGAAATCATTTAATCTTTCTTTGCATCAAATTCCCAGCCATAAAATGGCAGAAAACATCTTGCACACTGTCATTCTGCTTCCTTGGATCCTTTGCTTTCCAGAGCTGGGACTGAGTTTTTATAACTGGGTATCACCCAGCCCAACAGAGTCCATGTGATTATTGGGGTTTCTCTTTCATTTAAATGTAGATAAATACTAATTAGAGAAGGGGATGCACAAGTGTGACATTCCCAGTGGGAGGTTTGGAGCTGGATGATCTTTAAGATCCTTTCCAACCCAAACCATTCCCTGATTCTACCACTCTCAGCCCTGTGCTTGTCTTTTGGCCACCCACAAGTGTGCTTTCCCATGATTTCTGTGAATAGCTCTTCATTTTTTTCTCAGTTCTGCTTTTTATTGGATTTCTTTTTATTTCTTTTTTTTTTTTTTTTCATCACTCCCTTCACTCCAAGCCACACCACGGAGTCAAATGCCACTGAGATCTCTTGCTAAAGTGCAATGATGTGACAAATAGAACAGACTTGCTCTCCCGTCCCTAAGCCACACAGCGCTTTCAGCTGCACCACCTCAGGTCTCAGCACACAGAGCTGTGAAGGATTCCAAACAAAATCGTCAGCAGGGATTTTGCTGATGGGAACCAGGGTGTGCCAAGGCCAGGGGTGGGCAGGAACCAAGCAAGGATGTGGGATCAGCCGCTGAAGCAGGTAATGGCACTGATCATGGCATGCTCAGGTGGGTCAGCCCTCCCCATCTCCCTCTTCCTCATGCCAAATGCTGATAATTTTGGGCTGATTGCAAGTGCTGGGGCTCCCACTGTTTCCCACTGGGAAGATTGCACCCTGCCCTGATACATCCAGCAATTTCAGCCCTTCCTGCTGACATTTTTACTTACTTATTTATATGTCTGCTTAGCCCCCCTGCTTTTCATCCCCTCCCATCGCTCCATGTCCAGGCTGTTGGCAGAGCTATCACAAGTGCAATAAGGAATGGCAGGAAGGGTCCCTCTGAGTGATAATTGCATGCCTTGGGTGGTGTGACAGAGGACAAAGCCCAGAGCTCAGAGTCTCAAACCACTTGACAAGAACAAGAATTGTCCCGAATGGTGCTGCCTGCGGTTACTTATTGCTGTTATCAAATAAAATGTCTCTGGGAAAGGCAGGGAGAGAGGCAGATCTGGCTCCTGACTGGGCAGAGCACCCAGGGACAGTCAGTGCTGGATGTGACATTACTGAACGACAGACTGGTCACACCCGGGTGTCCTTAGAGCATCTTTAACTGCAGTTGGAGCCACTTAGAAAAGGTGGCTCTGATCCCTGGTGTAAATCTTGAGGGATCAGGAAATGCAGAGCAAAAAGTTAAGGCTCTTTTCCTGACCCTATCCTGTGAGAAAGTGGGAAAAATCCTGTTTTGCACAAGTTTTTCTGCGAGAGGCAAAATGCCTCGAGCGAGATGGGAGGGGGCAGATCTTGAGGCTCCTGCTGGAAAACAAGGCAGGACTGATTGCTTAGTCTAGCGTGCAGCACCAACAGAAGGATCTGCTGGCAGGACAGCATCCCTCCAGGGACACACCATCACAGCACAGCCTCCCACCCTCCCCTGGACCTTCTCCAAGCCTGCAATGCAGGTGCTACATTCAGTGCCTCCTCCAGCAACTCTGCTGAGTAAAAAAGCTCTGTCAGAGGGGGTTGGTTCGATTTGCAAACAGGCTCAGACAGCTCTTTCCAGAGCCAGGTGACCCCTGGAGCAGAGGCTCATTGTATTGCAGTGGCTCCTGCCTGAATGCTAATTCTGGCAGGGAAGGGAATAATCGTGATGGAGACAGATCTCCAGCACCCCTTCCCATTGTCTGTGTCCTCTGCCACCTGCTCAAACAGCCAGGGCTTCTCTGCTGCCTTTTTCTATCTCTCTGAATGTTGCTTTCTTTTGTCTGGCTCTCCCTTCCACATCTCTTTCTCTCAGTGCCTGGCAAATTCCGAGTAACAATGAAATAACATTTCTCAGGGAAAAAAAAAAAGAAAATAATAAGAAGGAGCTTAAATCAGAGAGTCAAAGCTCCTTCAAAAGGAAGGGGAAGAAAAGGGGAGGAAAGGAAAGACAAGAGGAGGAAAGGGGAGGACAGGAAAGACAAGGGAAGCAAAGAGAAGGAAAAAGGAGGAAAGCGAGGGAGAGGGAAAGGGGAGGGCAGAGGGAGAGAAGAGGCAGAAACAGGACAGAAAAGAGTTGATTTTATTCCCAAATGAGCCTCTCTCCCTGGAGAAGAAAGAGATCCACCTGAGCCACCACCAAACACAAGACAAGCATCCTGCAGACAACACTCAGCAGTAGGGTCATGGAGCACCTTGGCAGGAGCCTGAGGCTCAGCCCTGCCACCCTCTGCTGCTCTGGCAGAGCCTGGAGTTTCTGGCTTAGAAAAACAGACATTAAAGTCAAAATGGTGCTGTCACAGCACTCAGGCATCCTACCAGCAAATCCATCTGGGGACTCATCAAACCCCACTTCTCTGGTCCCAGGCATTGGCAACTTCTTGGAGCATGCAGGTAGTGTGGGAATAATCACCATTACCTCTCAAAACCAGTCTTTTATTGGGTTCTGCAAAGTGGCATGCTGAGGCTGGCTGAAGTTACTTTCCTGCTCAGCCCAACTATGCTTAAAACCACCCTGAGATAATTCATTGGAAGAATGTGTCTGCCAGAGAATTCGTGACTCCAAAGGGTCATTAAAGGTCTGTCTTGCCTGCTGAGACTCTTTGGGCAGATGTAATCTCTGCCCACGACCATACAATTCCCCCTTAGCTTCCACCATTTTAAAATAATACTTTAAAGAAAATGTGCATACCTACTTAACTTCCTAGTCCTTCCATTCTTAACCAGAAACCGGAATGCTCACAGGTCATTAACCAGTAATGAAAATCAGGGAGAGGTGGGAGGGAGGGAGACAAAAAAAAAAACAAATAAAAGAGCATCGGTTGGGAAGTTGCTTGTTTGCAACAGATGTAAAATGTGTGAACTGCCTGCAATCTTCAGCCCTGCTTAATGCAGCAGAATATGTTGTGACAAGCACTGCCCAGCGTGGAGTGGCAGAGCTGCAGTGAAGTGGCTGAAGCCTGTAATTAGCTCTTTGACTAATAAATCATCTCACAGTAGCAGCAATGAAAATGACTCAATGCATGTCCTGGAGACATGAATCTCGTGGAGAAGCCTCCCGAGAAGCAGAGGCCTCCACAGCACCTGGGCACAGCTCCTGGCTGCTGGCAGAGCAGGTTTGTCCCCAAAAGTGACTCACACAGGTTCCCTGCAAGGAGAGTCAAAGGTCCTGCACTTCAGGTGGGGAAGTGGAGGTGGGCAGAGGCAGAGGCTCCTCAAAGGGCATGTGAGAGCTGGAGGAAGGTTTGGCTCAGCCTAAGGCCAGGTTGGATGGGATTTGGAGCAACCTGGTCCGGTGCAAGGCGTTGGAACTGGATGACTTTCAAGATCCCTTTCAACCCAACCCATTCTAGGATTCTGTGTTCTCACCCTTTTTCTGCCCCATTACATGCTGGCACGTCTCAGACTGTTTATGTGGGGTTTTGTCATCAAAGTCCCCCAAAATAACCTCCACTCTCACGCTGACACGAACACCTGTCCCCCTGGAACCCCTTTTAGTGGTGCTGTGGGGAAATGAGCAGCTTGAGCTGATATTGCTGCCTGTGGGTCATGGCTGAGGTGCTCCAGCCCAGCCTGAGGATGGGATCCACCAGGAGTGGTGACACCAGCCAGTCCAAGGAGAAAAAAGGGCAGTTTCAAGCTACCAGCCAATCTCTTCCTACCTGTGTTTGGAGCCACAGAATCGTGAAAGCTGGAAAAGACCTCCAAGATCATCAAGTCCAGCCTTTGACTGAACACCCCTGTGCCCACTAAACCCTATTGTGAAGTGCCCTGTCTACACCTCCTTTGAACACTTCCAGGAATGGTTACTCCACCACTGCCTCCATCCTATTTCAATGTTTAACCACTCTTCCAGTGGAAAAGTATTAATTTTTCCTAATATCCAGCCTGAACCTCCCCCTGGCACAACTTGAGGCCATTTCCCCTTGTCCTGTCACCAGTTGCCTGGGAGAAAAGCCAGACCACAACCTCACCACAACCTCCAGCTGGTTCTAGAGAGGAATAAAATCTCCCTTGAGCCTTCTTTCCTCCAGACAAAACAACTCCAGCACCCTCAATTAGGTAAGAAGGGCTGTGACACAATCCCAGCTCCCCTGGGGACGGTGCTGTGTGTCCCTCCGTGGCCCCGTGCTCACCGAGGTGTTCTGGCACTGCACGCTGGAGCTGTTGAACCTCAAGGCCGGCACCCTCTGCTCGCTGCCCTGGATGTTCAGGATGCACTCGTAGCCCCGCTGGCCCGACTGTGGCTGGGGCAGGTTCTTGGCCTTCAGCGTGATGGGTTTGATCACCTCCACGGGCACCAGGATCTTCTCGGCCTGCAGCAGCTGGGGACAGTCCTGGGGAGAGAGCAGACAACTCACCAGGTCAGCACGTGGGTTTCCCAGCCTCAGGAAGTGTCCTGTGGTGCTTCCTGACCTTCTCAGTCCTCCTGATTACAAAGCATTTACAACTCCCTGGGCCTTGGTTTGTTACAGAGCTGTTCAAGGAGTATTCCTGGGAAGGCTCAGATAAACAGGAGAGGAAGGATTTCTTTCATAGACCATCCTTTCCTATCTCCCTGGCTTATTTCAGCCTCCAGGACCCAGGGAAGCCACCTCTGGTGCTTTTTAATACCTGCTCTGTTTATTCAGGTGATAGAAAAGCAATCATGTTCCCTCCACAGACTTAACCCAGTCACAATGTCATGATAAAAGTGAATAAAGGAAAAATTTGAGCACAATTCCTCACTTCCCAACAGCCAACACAGCACTGCACAAAAGGCACAGCTCCAGCAAGACCTGTTGGAACCTATGGAGTCAGGGTTGTTGAAAAGAGAGTTCATTTTGCCTCAGAAGACGACAAATTATTCATTACAGAGATCTAGACCCAGCTGCCATGAAACAACTGTCACAAAAATTGTGGAGACCCCTTGGAAAAGCTGGGCTCACAAAAGGAGAAATGCCAAGTGGTTGTTGCTAATGTGGTGCCTCTTCATGGGTCCCTCACATAGGTGAGCCCTGGACACCCAAAAATGCCTCACAGGTGGCTGCATTTAAAGTGACATTAATTAGCACAGCTTAATTAGTTAGAGTGGCTATGCTCTGCTTCTTCATAGCACAGTCAGACAACTGCAAGGTGTCCCTTTCATGGTTTCTAGGACAATATCAGCTCTTTAGGAAATTACTGCAGCCTTTGCCTGTCCTGGCCAAAGTTAAAGCCAGGTCCAGTTGGTGCCAGCAGAGACAGGGAACTGTAGGTGTGGGCAAGAGGAAAATGACTGATTTGGGGCAGAAAAGTAGGGAAAGGGACTGAAGGGCTCAAAAGTGGAAATTATGGCTTATTGAGAGCCTGGGATCTTGTTAGAGCAGATGGTGGGAGTATCTTACTGAAGCAAATAGCTTAGGGAGATAAAGAAATAGATTAGACGTGTAACATCTGTAGTTACACCAACCGGGGACGGAGTTACGAGAGCCAACAGCCACCACATGGAGGATGTGAGCTCATCCCTGGCCAGGGGCAGGGAGAAAATCCAGTAACCACCCAGTGCATCCCTGCAGTGAAGTCCAGAACCTTCCCCAGTCCCAAAGAGGATCTGAGGGTCTGTTCTAAGGGGGTGCTGAGGAGTCTGAGAGATGATTTTTCACCTGCACTTGCAGGGTGGTGCTCATGGTGGAATTAACTGAGAGCTACTGATGGGCTTCAGCTGGCCTTGCCCAGGCTGGCACCAGAACCAGGACAGCCAAGCACAGCCACTGGAGCTGGGTGGAGCTGAACCACCTTGGATCCAGTGGTTCTTTGCCTGAGATAATCTGGCACAAGGCCTGGCTTGATGCGTGCTGCCAACGCTTAATAGGCCATCCCATTAACCTGGCTGGAAGGTGGAAGGGTTGGAGATGGAAAACCCATGGAGTGCTGCAATGCAGGGATGAACTTCATCACTGTCATGCTCTGCACTCTGGGGGTGGAGGATTGAGGAGCTGTAGCCTGCTCCAGCACTCCCTGTCCTGCTGTTCTGTGATGAAACCTCTCCAGGGAACTCCTAACGCTGAAACACAATGGGTGAAGTGTCACAGAAGCACTTTTCTTGATAAAAGAGCAAGGCTTAACCATCTGGAAAGCCTTCCCAAGTTGGGTTCAGTGGTTCTACCATACCGTGGCACACCAGCATTAAGGTTCCCTGCAGCTAATCACCACAAGAAAGTGAGGCATGATCTATAATTCTGCCTGATTTAAGAGCAATAAAAAACCCAAAGGACAGAAGAAGGAGGTGATTTAGGCTATATTAAAGAGTTTTCAGTACTGCTCACACCAGCAGATGCCCCATGCAAACAGCATTTGGGACCTTATGGCTTCAACACCCCTGACCCTTCCCCATCACCTGCCCAACATGTCCTGGGGGCCTCTGCCTCAGCTTCCTCTCTTTCTCCTGGCACAAGAAAAGACATTGGCAGCAGCCTCTCCACGTGTTTTTTTTTGTCCCCAGCTCCAGGAGTTGAGAGAGAGATGCACTGGCAGAGGGGATCAGTGGGGCAGGAGGGTGGGAAAGCCCTATCTGCCGCTGAGCAGCCGTTTCCCAGGAGTGGGCATTTCACTTGATGTCTGTCACAGAGAAAAGCCTCTGATGAGGGCTGCGGGATGCAGGTTGGAGATAGTCCACTCTGTTACCTGCAGGCCAATCCCAGCTCTTCAGCCTGGTCTTTCTTGTGTGGCTTTATCCTGTCCCCCTCCACCACTGGTGCTGTAACCTTTCTGATAACACTTGTTTCAAGTTCATTAACAAGCCGTGATTGAGGCAGCCCCAAAACAGGGTTCGTTTGCATATAAAAAGCTTTGCAGTGCTGTGAGGAAGTTCATTATAGATAATTGAAGAGGCAACCGCCATAAAGAGGAAATCCTCCCAATGTGGCTTTATCTGATTGACCTAATGTTCTTTCTAATTGAAACGGGGAGGGGAAAAGGCAATTTCATTGGGTGATATACTGCATAAAACCTCAGAGCTTGGACTGGGCTCTGGGTTCAGATTCAAACACAGAACTCATTTTGCAGCCTGTGTCAAGCTTTGGGTGCCTGGCCAGGTTTGTACTTTTGAGGGGAAAACATCAAGCTGACCAGAGCAGACCCAAGCAGAAGGCTCTGCAAAAAAGAGTTATTTTGGTCATTTTGCAGTGGAGGCACTTTCTCTTCACCCTGCTTTGCTATGGACATCACCTAGCTTGGAAAAACACAGTTTTCACAGGATGTAGGGGACATAAAATCATAGGCTGCCAACAACTGCACCAAGGACAGGCACAATCCCATCCCTTTTTGCCTTTAATATATAATAAATTAAATCTTTTGCCTGACTCCAAGGGGAGCTGATTCCCAATCCAGAGAATCATTGTTGATTCATTTTGTCTGTGTAGCTTCATTCTACTTCTTGAATGCTTTCAAATGAGTCAGTCCATTTAAAACAATATCCTCCACCCTTGCCAATTACTGGTATCAGCAGCGATGCACACCTCACATCACCAAAATTTTGCCAATTACCAAGTCAGAGAGCTTTTGCAGTGAAAACACTGCATGAAATGGGCTGTACTCATTGGGCTGATGGTAGTTTAATTTTCTTTATTTATAACTCCTCATAGAGCGCCTGCAAATGTGTTTTTTTGTGGCTTGCAGGAATAATAAAGTCTCAGAAATATGAAGACCTTTTCTGTCACATGTGCGTTATGGCCTTCATCAGAACTGAGCCCGAGCCGGTCTCCAGTGAGAGCCATCATGAGGATGCTGCTAAAGAGATCGAGGAGGCCTCTCTGAGGCTGTGTGGTCTTAGCCCTGAGCTAATTAGTTTGGTTTCTTTATGGTGCTTCATACCTCCAGAGTTACGATTTCATGGAGGTTTCACTGTGCTGTTTCCCAGTATAAGCTGGAGACCAAATACCCCGAGTTCCTCTCCTAGGAAAAGGCACGTCGGGATGTTTCACAGCCTCGTGATACTGCACAGGTTTTCTTCCAACCTTATTTTGAACAGTTTCACTCTCTGTTATTGTTTTTGGCCAGGACTATGATCCAAAGGGTCATCAAATTGTTTTCCAGTTTCCGGTAGGAGTTTTATCTACCTTGGATGACAGGCATTCCATGTGGGAACAGAGAACACATCCATGAAGGTTAAATGCAACGAATGCCCCACCTATCAACAGCTCCCACCTCACACCCATCTCCACTTGTGCATCTCTTGTCAGCCAGAGCATTCAGGGGAGGGAACCTTCCCAACTTTCCCTTCATACTGCTCCCACGAGATCCCAGCATTGGCTGGATCTCCACTTTCTATGGAAGGAAACTACAGCTCACCCAATGCTCAGGGTGTTGGGGGCACCACTGGCCAGATAAACTCAACCCTTGGCAACGGATTTTCACCCTTCCTTTCCCAGAAGAGTGGGAGTCACCTCCATTCAGGAACAGACCACTAATTCCTTCATTGATCCTTCATTACTTCATTCCAGCACTAATTTTTGCTCAGAGCAACCAGTTCCTCTTTTCTTCTGCCATTAAAATCCGTTTCTTTATCCTCAACTTTACAGGGCTTTTTTAAGACTTTGCTTTCAATATCCCTCATCCAGCAACAATCTTTTCACCTTATCCAAGGCATCTTGACTGAAAAAAAATGACCATGCAGTGAATCTAAGTGGTGACCGAGATTGACTCACTCAGGCCCTTTGGGACCCCATAAGAAATGAAACTCAGAATGTTATTTACTCAGATATTACGTAAATAAATACATCTTTTGTTCATCTGCTCTGCTGAGCTGCAATGTTCTGTTTTCTCTGTGTTCCCTCTGGCCTTGTCACCCGCCCACTCTGCTGTAATCAAGTCAAGAGGGTAAGAGTTGAGAGGCAGGGATTGGGTTTTTATTAAGATATCTAGACCACAGCATCTGGATGCTCTGTAAATTAAACTAGATTAAAAAACCCATCAAAACAAAAACAGACCGAGGAAAGAGAAAGAAAAGGAAGGCAGGGAATGAGAAAAAGGAGAGGGAAAACATGCAATAAAGAGGCAAAACCCCCTAACCTTTCATTGATTTTGGAGAAATCAGATTTTGTGTGGATAAAACACAGGAAAATGCAAGTTTATAAATGAGAGGCAGCAGGGACTGCCTGGAATTTGTTTCCTGAAGTTGTCTCTCACACCTCTGCATGATCACACAGGGTCACCACCCTGTACTGCTGCAAACCCAGGGCTCCAGGGCTGCCAAGCTGGTTCTTTTTAAACTCCTGCACAGCTTCCCAGATCCTTCCCAGATCTGGGATAATCTGGAGAAGGAAGCAGCAAGGAGCTCGCCATCCCCAGTGCAGGAGGAGAAGGGGTGAGTTACAGT